TCAATAGAGTCCGTTATCTTACGACTGAGGTCTTACTCTTGTGTCTAGTCTCCACAGGAAGATGGGCAGTGATGACGATGAAGACGACGATAATGAGATCGTCTCTTTCGAAGAGATAGCGGCCGCTCGAAAGCATATCAACAACACCTATGAAGTTCAACCATTGAGCCAGGCCACCGGTAAAACAATCATTAAAGGTACGAGTTGCTCACTCTATGATCATATAGTTAGTATTAATGTGTTTTCAGTCGATGATCCCTCTACTGTCATGGCTACTCTGAGCCCTACCCAAGCCATCGAGCAAACATGTTCCCATCTCATATATCTCAGTGATTGCGCACCTGGTCCCAGTGCAGACAATTCAAGCCTCCCTATGCCTGGACAAGCCCCGAGTAACTCTGTGACGGACGGTGGTGAGCTTCTGGTAAACTCTTTGATACCACCGAGTAGGATGGATACTGATGTAGTCACTGATGCCTTAGATGATGATTTTGTTCAACCTGACGGTTCTCCCATGCCACAGGACATCGATATGCAACAAGATGTCGAGGAACTGTTTGTGGATGATTACAATTTCCAACTCGACGACGGATTATTTTCTGGGGTTGGTCACGATCATGCAATGACCCCTTCCACTCAATGTTTACTCTTGCTGAGGTGTCTGATGATAAAGATGGCGATGCGAGTGTCAAAGAAATCTCTACACGTCACAGTTCATGTTTGAATGTCTTGCTTGATAAAAACATGGCTAGCTCCTCCGCCATGCAAGTCTTTACAACACAGCTGAAGCATCATCCGATACTCAATTACCTTTTCCCCCTCAGGCTGATATGCAACCAACTCATTCTACCGATGTTTCCCCTCTGATAGTTCAGCCAACCTATGAAGAACCTTCATCCCTACTACCAGAGACCCCGCTACCTCCAGATGTCGTTCTGGATAACACAACTCCACATTGGTTTTGGAAGATAATGATAATCCTTCTCCTCGTCGCATGGCTTAATCTACGCTCCCATCTACCCCACCGTGCAGCAAACCTTGTTCTCAAGGTTTCAAGATCTATCTTTTATGGACTCGGAGCTTTCACTGTCGAAGATAAGCCAGCACAGACATTGAGAACGGCCTTCAATCATTTAGCACTCTCTGATTATTTTCAGGTCCATCCTATGCGTACTGTCTGCATGACGATCTTCTCCCCTGACTCGCCGCCTGATTCTCTCTGTACACACTGCAGTGAACCACTTTTCCAAGAGACTCGTTAGAAAGATATTCCAACACAATCTTCAGGGTCTACACGCACAAAGACGAGTGCGAAGGCGAGACTGCGCTGTCCTTAAAACCCATTTTCTAACGGAATTCTTCGACTTCTGTCCCAAGATGGCATCGAAGCACATCTTGATTCTTAGCGTTCATGTCAAGCTATCCCTGGCAAACGGTCGTCCATACGAGATGGTGAGGTATGGAAGACATTACGAGCAGCAGATGGGAGTCTTTTCTGTAATAATAGCCCTGCACTCGAGGATGCAGATGAGCTGCGAATAGGGATTACACTTTGCCTTGATGGGTGAGACACAAACTCGTGCATTGTCAGACTATTGACTTGATTTCAGGTTTAACTACCAGCGCAGTAGCAATTCCAGGTCCCACAGCTCTGGTATAATGTACAGCTGCATTGGAAACCTGCCAACGCATATGCGGTAAGTCTTTGACTTCAACATCCTTGATGGGTCCTTGTTCATTTCACCAACAGGTATCGCCCCCGAAACTTAATTTTTTATGGTATTAATCCAGGCTCGAAGGAGTTGGATGCCAATCAGCTTCAGTTATTTATGAAGAACTACGTTGATGATTTGCTCCGTCTCTATGACGAAGGAGTCATGCTCAAGACACAGAAGTATCCCAGTGGCAAGCCAAATGATGTCGTCGAGTTTAAATCTTATTCAACTGCATTTCAGGTCGTCGTGTTCGTGTAATTCTGGTTACAGTATGCTGTGATCATTAAGCAATGTGTAAGGTTTGCGGATTTGACAGCCACAGTAAAAAGGAAGGATTCTGTTCACGCTGTCACATTCCGCAGTCAGAACTACGAACGAAGGGCGCAATGGAATATGACAGTACGATGGTCTTGTTTTAGATAGCCCTGATTCGTCACTGATTTAACAGAATTCCCTCCACGACATGGTGAGCAACACAAGAAACACGCTCATGAATATGTCAACTTGAAGTCCAAGGAACGAGATGAATTTTCCACCAAGCACAGTGCTCGATGGTTTGGCCCTGTTCGCTTGCCATATTTTGACCCTGTTCGCATGATTGTGATTGATCCCGTGCACTGTTTTTTGCTCGGTAAGTCACGTCAACAACAGGTATCATCAAAACACAGTGGTTTAATGCATGGATCCAGACGAACGTACTTCGTCAGAAAACCTCCAAGGTAGAACGTGAACTTGATCAAATACATGAACTCTTGTTCACAGTACGTCTTTGCCATCAAACTCAATATTTTCAGGTGATTCAGTGTCCTATCAGTTTGAGATGCCATCGTGGGTTGCACGTTTACCGGATCAGGTTTGTTACCCTGCTGGTGGTTAACTCACATCCGATGAATTGAAAGGCCTAGCCCTTGTCTTTTGCCCCATCGCTGTAAGTGATTCAGTCATTCTTCTGAATAATTAATATTTGATGCCGATTCTCAAGATTCCGTTGGTCTGGCAAGAGGGTAACCCACATCTTCGAGCAACTAGAGGATTACGGCCCTGTCTATGGCTTCTGGACTTTTCTTTTCGAACGACTCAATAAGGTTCTCAAAGGTTTTTCAACAAACAACCATGGTGATGGCAAAATTGAATTGAGCTCTCATTCTTCCGCGCATTATTACGTGATACAGAGCTTCGGACCATGGTGATTATTCTTGTTCTGAACTTACTAATTCATATTCACGATTGTTTACAGCTCACAAATTTACTCGCTCGCACATCTGAATCCAATGAATTGCCCTCTTCTGAAGATGCTATTCTATACGAGGCTGTGAAATCAATCATCGCAACAGACAGCGACACCCGTGGAAATGTGGCTTCTCTTGCTAGTGAGATTGATGATATCGCACAACAAGGTATCTTTCCTTGGTGTTTCACATTCATTTATTGACCATATTCATTATCTGGAACGCGCTTTTCATTAGGTCCAGCTGCATCATCTTCACTTCACTTAGACCACCAGAAGTATCTTCTCTACTTCTATCAAACAGCCTATCCACATGCTCATATTGTTAGCGTCACATCATACTCGTCGTCGTCCCCCAACTTCCTCAGTTCACATCCTCGATTTCACGATTATGCAATTGTTGATGGACGTCGTATTATAGCATCCGATTCACGAATATTTGCACCAAACTCTATCGTTCAAGCCGACATCAACAACAAGAGATATGTTGGACAAGTTCATTCAATCATAACGCATTGGTAAAAAGATGTTGGCATTGACATTTGTCTTCTTGAATTCCGTTGGTTCCGATAGGCTAAAGACTTCGAATGTCGACATTGGACTCGCAAGTGAGCTCTATTTACTGATGGTTGTCGCTTACTCAAATACATTAGCCCAGAGTTGGAGATCTACTTCTGGGACTATAATGAATTTCTCGACAGCATGAAAAATGGACCATCTCGTTTTATCCCCATAAAATCGATTCTCTCACAGCATGCCGTTTGAAAGTTATGCGACATGTCGAGGATCCCAAGACAGACAAACAAGTTGAGAAACCTTTTTGGGTTACATTTGGCCTCAGTCGTGTAAGTTTTTTAACATTTGCAGATACGAACCAAGTTCATTTGTACATGTAATTCAATACAGGATGTCCAGGTGGCTTCACGCTCACAGATCATCTGATTAGCTGGAACGCTTACATGTGCAGTGAGATCAAATTTCAGTAGCGCGGGAGCCTCGCCACATTCGTCGTCGGTGTCAGACTCTCTGTCGGAATCCTCGTCCTCCCGTGGCTTTCCACCTTCCGATGCGATAATACCAGTGAGATTTTAGATTGCTATACCGACACAATCATGAGCATCAACAGTCCCCCTTTCAGTGCATATAACCAGGTATATATCATGCATACGCACCTGGATTTTAGCTCTCGTTGTCGTCTGTGCCGGTGTCAACTGACTTGTCTTGACGTTCAGGATAAACTTGCTCTCCTTCCTTGGTTTCTTGCTGTGCAACTTGGTGCCTCCATCTCCCGCATCATCGGCATCGGCATCATCGTCATCACGCGGCCGCTTGAGGGAGTCCTCGAGGTTTTGGAGTGAAGCTGAGGGTCAAGAACCACCGGAAAAGGTACGATTGGCCGCTGTGGAGGAGGTATCACGCGTTCTTTATCCGCCTCATCACACATGTCGGACACTTGACTTTCCTGCTCATGTGCAAGGTTCTGTCCTCAAGAAATAAGCCAGCAGGAGTGCGCCCAGCCTCAATGAACGCTGCCCTTACTGTAGGACCTGCCTGCTTCAAGCGGATAACCTGAATATGGCGGGTAGTATTGTGGACATTGGATCTCTCGCCTTTGAGGTGTAGGTAGACATGATTGCCTGGAAGGGTGAGGACGTGACCGACAAATATTTTGTTCCAGCTGGGTCGCATTAAAGTAGTGACAGCCGTTATGAAAATAAAGTCCGAGATTGTGAAGTCATGCTCCAATCTAGTGGCAATACTCACCAATCCGAATACCTCTCAGCAAAGAGCTCCCGAAGCTAGTAGCATATGAATTAAAAACACATTTTGTTTAGGCATCAATACAATTCTTGCGTAATTCGATCACTAAGTAAAGGCGAAGACTGTTGGAAGTTTATACAATGTGTACTGAATCGTGATGGTGCATTTCCACGAAAATCAAGGGGCAGAGTTGAGAGGTCTTGGTGAGATAAATACAAAAGATGACAATGTAAATGTATACTTCGCGTATCAGACAGACGCAGAGCGGTGGTTCGAAGGTATTATACCAATCACATCTAAAGTTCCGTAAATCGAATGAGCGCCTTGTCTAGCTCTTCCCTGACAACGAGCGCCCCTCTCTCAAACTGATCACCTTTGTATAGTAACATAGAGGCTGACTTGCGCTTTGTGACTCCGAGATGGGACGCGATAGCAGCCGATATCTCTTTACTGAGTGCTGCTGTTTCCGTATCTGCGACAGCAGATTTATGTCCTCCCTTAGCACGATATTGCTTTCCCTGCAAGACCATTATGCATAGCGCGAGCAGGGGTCTTTTGTACAATGCTTTGAATGCGATGTCAGGCATATATGGCAGAAGGATATAACAATAAATTCTCACATATTCTGGGAGACAAACGTGGTATTCCTATCATCATGCGTCTGAGGGTCTCTAGGGCATTATGGAGCGCCTGATTTGTCAAACAGTCTCCAACAACAACATCAAGGTATCGAGAGATTTCGGTGAGGTGCATGCACCCATAATGATAGAAGTGTCCCCCTGTGGCGAAAGAGGCAACCGGTGTATATACAGCATGCAATTGACCCGGAGGAATTATCCTACAATAAAATATATCAATGAACGCCATGAAAAATGAACATCACAAACAACGTGTCTCCAGGCATGATAGTGATGACCTCGGCGCGACAGTTCGCTCTTATCCAAACTTCGTTTTCTGTGAAATCTCCTAGCTTGATCGCCATGTCCTGGAGATGCTTACGATCGTCATGTCGATCGATGGGTCGGAACACCACCCAGAACTTCATTCCAACTTCCATCCTGACCCATGTTAGGCTCCCCTCAGCGTCATGGTGGGGGTATGTCAAGAATCCAGCGTGGTGAAGTAGACCCCAACCCTTCACAGTGAAATTTTCCGGATGGACGTTTGATGTGATTTGAACGTCGTATGTGGTGTGATTCCATCCATGAGCGAGACCGTGATCGAGATTTCTGTCATCATGCGTCACGTAGGAGAGGTCTTGTATATGGAAAAACAAACCTCAATTGATCTTGGAGTGATGTCTGAGCGAGAGGGATATCCAACACGCATTGTATCTTCTCCGGATCTTTCATAGATTCACAAAAAGATTTCAGGACGCCTGCAGTCGTGACCTTCGTATGATCTATTGCGCGGGACTTGGCGTCTGATAGGTCAATTATATATTGGCACGATTATATGTGAAAGATGCAACGGTACCGTGTATCCATACGGCTCTATGTGGCGATATCGCGTAGTGTTTGTCGAGAAAATCCGCCGTCAACTCTTCTTCAACAGCATGTTGCCCAATCCCTCTAATGACGACTGGTTTATTTAGACTAAGTGCTGAGCTTACCACGTCCTCCATCATGTTTGGTGGAATATCAGCATTTGATAAATGTGTAACGTATTGCGAGTGAGGTGTAGATTCTGGACATTTGGCCAGATACCGGATGATTGGAATGTCCACAGCTTCACAAAGATTGTTCTTCTTCTCATCGTAAACGGCTGGGAGGATTGTCGTGTGTCCGTCCTTCCACGTGATAACCGGACTATTCAACGGTACTTCTGTGCCCAAGAGTGTGCCAGTGAGGTCATAATTGTGTGGCGCCGTCATGCCTGATGTTATCACAATCCATCAGTATTCGAACATACCCTTTTCCGTAGCTTCACTTCTTACCAGAATTTCTGTATTATTCGTGAGAGGGCTATGGTAGTATCACTGTCGTGGCTCGTTTATAATGATGTGGTTCGATATTTACTCCATGGTCACGTGAATTTGGGTCGATCGGCGTAGTTGACCAAATACGATACTCAAATTCAAATTTTCATCCCACCTGGACACAATCCTAGTAATTTATGCAGAAATAAATGGTTATCTATGAGTTTCACATGGTACAACGACTCATCGGACTTTGATGCAAATTTACAAATGGTGGAGTCTCGTCTGGAATGGCAAATATTCAACGATAATCAGGTAAATAGTCGCCAATATTCCAACGAGCCAAAATTGTGTAAATGAGACCTCATCTGACGCTTTTAAATGGCAACAAAAATGACATTCTCCCTAGTGATTCACCAGTCAAAAAGGCTGTCCATATGTAGCCTGATATAACAAATTCCCCTGCGACCCTCATTCCTCCTCCTTCTGGAACAATCAGAGTACTCCTAGTAATCCTGTACTTCTGATACAGCTTATTGATCATTCAGACAAGACTATCGAAGCCATCCTGACGTGTGTTTTGGCCTTGGACACCAGCACAATCATTTCCATCTTCCGACAGTGCCAGAAACTCACATAGTTCCACCGTAGTACATATCTCATCGAACGCAGTCGTTAGGCAATATTTTTCCACAGGAAAAACGACATCAATTATGCATGCGTTATAATGCAATGAAAATGTAGCCAAAGCTGTCTGAAGGATGCAATAAATCATCTGTGTGTGCAGAATTATCCATCGATCCTGCACTTGTGGCACCTCACCACTTAGACGCACCGTCGTTCGTAGAAGGCTATAACTCAGACATCGAGCGAATGCAACCTCCTGCTATAAATAAATGAATCCCATCCTCATTAGCAAATTCTGCGATCATAGAAAGTCAGTCCATTCAATACCTTGTCTGCACGTGCAACTAGCACCAATCCATTCGACATGTTGTCCAGCACCCGAGAGCGATCAAATACGCTACAGTACAACAATTAAATTTCACCAACACTAACGTGTATATCACTTCCGCTGTCGACGCCTTTAAAATTTGAGATCGCCCGCGTTTATCACCTGTGGCTCCATATGTGTCACCAAGCAATACATAGTCTGCAGGGAGTCTCAAACAATGAAGCACTGGGACACGGGTTTATATTCCAATGCTCACGGACACCACCACGCGCCTAGAAAACGATGTGGAGGCCCAGAAGGAGAAACAGGATGAGTCTACTGAAATAATCAATGAAAAAGCGTGAGAGATAGATAAGCACCGTCAGGAGATTCAAACACTACACGACGGACAGGGTAGACTTGGAGAATATGCTCAAAAACACGCACATGGCTCGAGTCTATCTCTTCGAATGTCGATGCAATCACCAAATTACTTCAAGGGAGTAGCGATAAATCCAAATACGAGGAAGCACAAGCGGTTAGTGATAATTATAAAGATAATTTCTGGAATGTAAGTGCATTGAATGATGGTTAAAAGCATTTACTTACGCTGTAGATAGCTGGGAGTCCGTAAATATTTCTTGATAGACATTGGAGTCACACAACCTTGATCAATAAAGGCCTACAATGCGCAAGACGATGGTGTAAAAATAAAAGGGGACACGTTAGGTTTGACTTTAGCAAGGACTGCAGTGAAAACGCATCATGGCACACTCATCTTATACAGCACATCAAGCACAATATTGGGACATGTCATAGAATCGTTTCCAAAGAGCTTATCGCTTCGAAAACGCACGAAGACATCCTCAAGCGCTTCCATACAAACGTCAAAGTATTATGCAGCAGAGTCCCGCAGTGGCAAAATATCTCATTAACAACAGAAAAAGCACAAGGAAAAGGAAATTTTCACTCACTGGTAGTACGGGTGCGACCGGCATCAAACCTCATATGGACTGCATGGGATTGTGCGTGCCAGTTAGCGTATCAGAGCACTAATGAGAATATACCGTCAGAGGATGAACATGGAGGAATCCACACAGACACAGATAAGAAAACGGATGTTCGTAAGCAGTCACCTGCAAAGGCCAAGGGTAGGCCAAAGGCACCATCTGAGTAACCATGCTTTACTCACCGTCAAAATTATCGATCACTGTTGGTGCATATTCCACAGATATGTAACGAGCGCAGAACTGAATCAGGATAGTTCAATCAAGTTATGTATCACTTCAATGATCTCGCACTTGTGGAGAAATAAATCAGCCGTGGTCATCCACCCATCATCGGTGATGCACATAAATTGACGAGTTGATCCTATCAAAATAAATTTATGTATTTTTAGTGTTGCGACGAATGCGCTTGTTTCTCCAAGTTCATGATATTGATTTATGTGAGTCTCGAACGATTATTCGACTGTAGGTCAAATTCAGGTGACTGGGAATGATACATGAATGGTAATGAAGGAAAACAACATGCATGAAACAGATATCACCAAGAGCAAACCAACTATTGAAGCGGACCACGATCACCTCTCATGTCCATGTACCACTGCTAGTGAATTCGTGAACTCATTCATTCTGGAGTTGACTTAACAAGAACCCTCACATCTTCATCCTTAGCTCTCGACAAACGATCCCATGATGCCTTTGTTCTCAAGATAACCTCATTTTTATCGTTTCCCTCCACGGTATTGCTTCCCTCGATGTCATCGCTGCCCTCCATGATATCGCTGTCCTCCATGATATCATCGACCACAGTAGATTGTTGAGACGGATCCAATAATTGGTCAACACTGGAATCATGCATGAAGTCGATGCGAGCGAGAGAGGCGTCGTTGCCAGGATCTGCGATATGCTCTTCTGCATCTTGAGAATTTGAGGGAGATGATATATGCATATTTGAGTCAATGTCACTGCGATCACCGATGCTATCGTGATGCTGAATCGCCTGTGTCAAATGTGGTAGAACAACAGGGTCCGCGGTGGTGTCCATTCCACAGTCCCGAGTGACGCGAGAGTCAGATGGTATTGACGATGACGCAGCTTCGATAGTGTCGACTGGACGTAGTTGACTGAATGTGGTGGTCGGTGATGAATGGCGCATAAAAATGGTTCCTGAAGTGTTCTTTGGCCGCTTTGATGACCCCCTTCCTCCGTCTGCCTGATTTTTCCAATGGTTAGATGATCATATGTAGGACTGAAATTTAAAAGTACCTTTGGAGGGGAAAGCGTACTGGACATTGTCCTCTTTCGTTTGAGTGGATCATGCTCATCTGCAGTGACTACTGGAGCTGACACTGGCGCACCGGAAATAAGCATATCACCGAGGGCCCCTGATACATCTTCGTCATCGCGATCACCCTCTGCATCCAATTCCTCTATACTAGAATATGGCCAATGCTTGATTGAGACCATGCTACATACAGGGTTAGTCGTGCGATATGTCCAACCTGCGCCATACCTTTTCACAGGTACCGGGAGTTCTGGGAGGGGCCTAAAGCCTGGATGACTATTTCCAAGTCGCTCCTCAGACGACGCCTTTCCAATCTCATGAAAAATATGAGCGAGGTATTCAGGGTGTGTGTCGATGTGAGCGACCGCAGAATACAACCGTGTCATCCCCAATGCCTCGTGGAAGTCAGCGTCAAAGTCCATCTGATAATTCGCAGGGTGATCAGGAATCAAAAGCCCGTCAGGATCTTCCTCCATTGGAACCTTGGCCAGCTGTCTGAATCGAAGCAGGATCCATGTGCCGAGCTTCATAAACATGTGCGAGTTACCTTTCCGAAACGCTGTGGTATGCCAGTCCTCCCAATCATCGAGGGTAGATGGGAGGTTTTCATCCGGGTACCCAATGAGATCGTCGCTGGTATCGTCCTTGCTACACGTTAGACAGATATACCAGAGGGAAGTAAGCACTTGCCCACCTCATCGACTGCTACGACGGACTGATTGGATTTCTTTGGAGATGATTCGGTGTCCTGTAAGAAATAGGTGAGGATGAATGGTTGACATTAGAGTATACATACCATCTGAGTCGTGGTCTTCGACTCCAACAATGTTGGTTCTCGCACTGGCATTGGCGTTGATTCTGGCACTCCTATTATGGGCTGTGTGCCTCCATTGCTATCAAAAATGTCTAGCATACCACGTGCAGCATCATTGCTGATTTCGTCCTATTTCACAAAGCGAATGAGCGCAACTCGGACTCACAGAAGTGCAGGCATACCTCGTCATCTGACTCAACAATGGCTCTCCTTTTTCCCTTTCCTTTTGCAGCCCTGGTAGCACGGGTCGGTTCGCTTTCTTCTGCAGATGATGACACGTGTTCTTGAACAACGCGTCTACCACCAGTGTCATGTATTGAGAGTCGTGTAACTTTGTTGACATTCTGGTCAAGAATGTTGATCAATCCAGCCTCGATTGATTGAGAGGCGCACAGACCTTGTCGTCGTCTCCCATCTCCTCCTCGGATTCGACATCAGCACTAGCGTTCCGTTTCCCTTGTGTGCGAAGATTCCTTGTAGCACGGTTCGCTCGACTCTGATGATATTAAATATGATCATCACATTGCGATGCAGATAAGTGGTTACATACCATTTCAGGAGTTGAATCCCGGAGAGTGCTTCCCCGAGCTTCCTAACCGTAATAAATAAGTCAGTGAATGTTTCTTTATAATCACTTGAGGTCCTTGACATGAACCTTTTGCAAACGGCCGCCCTTGACACTTTTACGAGATTTCCGTCCATCCTCCTTCATCTCAAACATATGTGCAGTCTCGTCGATATCATCCTCTTGAACTTCACGGGCTGTACTCGAGGCTGTGGCCGAATCTATGGGTCTAACTGTCATCTTGACCTTGCGAACAGTCGTGCGTTTTGTGCTCTTCTTAGGTTCCGCGGCGACATCATCGAACCGAACGATTTTCTCGCACTTCTCTGCGTCGACCTCCAGTGGCATGCTGGTTGCAGATGCTTCGACTATTTCAGCGATCATGTCTTCTACAGACATCTTGTGATCGGCAGTGGCGTCGCCGCACATGTTCTTTCCATTGCACAGTTGTTGGTGGTACTTTTGGACATCCACTCATTGAGAATAGATTAGATGAGGAACGACATTAGAATTCATATAGGGTACTCACGCTGCATAACAGGCCTATACGCTTTCTTGCGCTTGAAATCAGTCCACGTTCGTTTGATCTTAGATAACGCCGCTTTTTGCATCTCCTTTGAAAATGCATTGTTTTCCAATGCCATCGCAAAGTGATAGTCCAGGTGAGCCGAACGCCATGTCTTATTTGAACCTGGAGCGTCATCTTCGATTTCTTTGCAGAATGCAAGTAGCACATCCCAGTAATAATGCGTGACGGCAATGTAGACTGCCAAAGATTGGACTGTGACTGAATGCTGCATGAGTGTATGAGTAACCTTCTGATAGGTATGGAGATGGTGAATAATTAGGTGCAATGCATCGGAGCATTGATCCGGCACGGGCAGCTGTATCTAGACATCTCGTTGACAAATTAGAGAGATCTTGCGCAAAATCACACACCGATTCCTTGTCAAAACAAACATTCAAGGTATCATTGATCTTCTTCAAAGAGCATCGTCGATTCAAAATATCGTTTGTCAAGTCAGAATCTCGTCTTCCCTCAACTGCGAGGACAATGGGGCTCTTCGTGGAGTAATTCGACGATTCCATGGTTCAAGTGACCGTGTGAATTTACATCAAGCCTTAGTACCATATGCGTACATAACCCATTGTTCCAAATCCCTGTTCATTCGCTGAGTTTATAATATTGTATTCTTCAATGCAGCGTCATTGCATCTCCTCATTACTTAATGGTCCACTTTGCTTGTAGTCCTCGTATGAGTATGGCTAAAAATATATTCGTATTCATAGTCCAATTAACGGCAGTTCCGGCATATATTCATAGGAAGACGTGGCGGCAGACATCTTTTTCGAACTCCGCCAGATCGGACCATTTTCAAGGCACGTGGCATGTTCAACTTTGCACTGGACGAAACTAAAGCAAGACTGATGTTTCGAATAATGTTTCTGCGCGTCGACCAAGTTAGATGTTACATTTGTCATATAACATCTGATGTGGCGCATCTGTGATGCTCACAGGGCATCGTGTGATTAAGATTTTCCGGTATTTGCCGCATACTATACAGTTGCCGAGAGAATCAGTCGAGACGTGTCATTTGGACCAAGTACTCTTCAAAAACGGCAGAGTTAACGACATGATCGCTCCTACTCATTTTGGACATTACTTTCAAACAACTGTCACCGCTACAACAGCTCCAAAGGATGCTAACACTAACACTAACACTAACAATACTAAAGCCAAGAATGGGAAAAAGCGTACTGCAGGGGCAAAGTCCCTCAACGCGCCATATCAAAAGCTTACTCCAATTTTCGACGATGGAGACGATAATACACAGATGGATGTTGAAATGGACATTGGTCCTACCTGTTCCAGTCAGTCATGTGAAGTGAAGGATGCTATCTCGGTAAGTTCGCATGCAGTTATAATGAATTATGGACGCTATCCTGCATCGTAGCATTGCATGTACTGTCAGGATGTTGGTTCATACATATGGAAGTGTACGACCAAAAGTTGCGGCGTCTTAGTCTGTGTTGGGACGGCCAAAGGAGATCACGGATGTATCGATGCGGTCCCAGATGAGCTCACGAACCAGGTCGAAGTGAATGCTGCCTCCTTCGTCTGTCCACAATGTTATCGTGCAGCCAAGTTGCCACTCCCAGTATGTCATGGTCTTCTATCATATTGTATTCGCAGACTTATATTGAATGATGCTAGTACAAGATACGCGGATATGCTGTGAGGCAAGAGTTTACGCAACGTAACAACTTTCCACTCCTTGGGGTGTTCTTATCATGGAGTGGCTTTGGTCGCGAATATGCTTCAGATATCATAAAGAGGACGCTACAAGAGCAATTTCATTATGTGCCTAGCAGGGTACGACATTCATTCCTTATCTAGCAGACTATTCTATCTCACATTGTATCTTAAGTTGCGCATTGCATCACGCAAACTTAAAGGCGGAAACAGCCGTCCAAACGCCGTGACGCCTGATTTCGATTGGCTCGCAAACCTCAACTACGAAGCAAACGTCCTCATTTTCATCGATACACATTCTGATACTGCAACCGGGGATCTGGTGGTGTCTGGAAATGCGACCAACCCGACCTCGTCACCAGTACATGAGGTAAGCTGTACTACAATGTACGGTATTCCATCACTTCATATCCTAATGAGACAACTTCTAGCTGTTACAAAGTTATCTGGGAGAGAATGTTCGATTGGCATCACAGGAAATTGCCAAAAAGAACGCTGACCCCGCGTGCGGGCCATTTGTTCGTGGAATCGTTATTTCGTCTTGCGGATCCACTGGAAGAAATTCTGAGAGCATCGGCCGTTTGAAACGCCTTGTTGAAATGTCAGTGATTGATTCAATCTCATGTACATCACGGCTTATATGAATTGTGACAGGGACATCTTCGATTTCGTCTTCTCCTTTGCTGGTGTATCCACGGTGGACCCACTTGTTGTTCCAGCACTCAGTCGCTTTGTGGAAAACGTGTTTGTGTATGACATGGGTTTATGGGCCGCCCTAGAACGATCGTTTGGCGAAGACAAACATGCCCTAAACACCACCCCTGTCATGTTGTCATTCGCAGAATATAGGAAGGGCCCCGACAATACAAGAGATCGTGTTGTCCACACTCGTGTCTTGGCTTACTCTAACTTCAAGGATGCTAGACCATGGGGCTTCGATATCTATCGGTGTTCCAATCCCACATGCGGTGCCCGTGCTCATGACATGATCTTCCACGCTGATGGAAAGCAGTATTATGGAAACAAGTGGATGCAAACAAAGATGAAGACAACTTGCATGAAATGCAACCAGACGCGTCGGAAAATCGCCACTCCACCGTGGATCAATTCGTGCAGTATTGAAAACATGGGGCGTTGCTGGTACACATGGCCTCTCACTCTCGCACAGCGCATTGATCTCGGGATCACTGACTGACGGCATTCATATTCATATTCTTGCTATACGCTAGCAGCGTATCTCTCAACTCAACCTTTCATTCTTGCGTATGTATTTACGTTGTCGATACATCATTCTCGTCGTCGTCGTCGTCGTCGTCGTATGCAATATAGACTCTCGTTGCATTCGATACCATGCAGTCACCGGAGTGATTGTAACTATTTGTCAGTGTACTTTACATATGATGTGTCTACGTGTGCAAATAGTCACATGGGGAGGTAAACAGGATATTGTGTAGACAGCGAACAAGAAGGTCAGTAGGCAACAATGTCCAAGGCAGCACGCTATCGCCAACATAATTGTAGGAAGAGCCGGACAATGAAGCACTGCTGCCACCTCAGTGCCATAAACGTTTTCAAAGAAAGCAGGGAGTAGCAGGAGAAAAATACTATCACATTCAACCGGTAGATTCACTGATGCGAATTCACTCAATGCTTAAGGCATAGACTTCCTGATGAAAGTGGCACGCAGTTCGAGGAAATGGTGGGAAATGGCGGCGACGAACTGGGCTTGGTGCGATGGACGAAGGTTTCAGATAAAGATATAACCGCGTACGCAGGCCTGCGGCAGGGTGAAGATGACAGAGGCAGATGACATGAACGCAAGCTGACATAATGTTTCGCACAGGATGTTTTGTAAAGAAAAAGATATTTCTTGCAAACAGAACCCTGGCAGACTTGTCGTCCGGAACTTCATTTGGCAATATCACGTGATGGTTCAAAATGTCGTTCAATTTCAACTTCCGCTGCATACGTTCTCTTCCCATTCTACTTCCATCTTCTCACATCACATTGTCGTAGCTCCTTACGGGGGCATAGAGCCGTCGCTCTGACATCATGTGAGAAGTGACATTCGTGTCTAGCTCCTTTATGGGTGCATATGGCTGTCGTCGACAGTCGCACGACGTGTCTGTCCCATTCGCGTCACTCTTGCACGCGTCCCATCTCCTCTCTTTTCCTGTCCTGTTCGCATCGCTCTTGCACGCGTCCCATCTCCCCGCCGTAGCTCCTTACAGGAGTTTTGAGCTGTCGCTCTGGCATGGCATGTTGGGCGACTCTCGCACATAGCGCCTTTATGGGTGCCTGGCTGTCGTCGACGGTCGCGCGATGAGTCTGTTATGTGCGTATCACTATTCGACGCGTCACCTCTCCTTGCTGTGTCTGCCACGTTCGCGCGACGAGTCTGTTGTGCTCGTATCACCATTCGACGCGTCACCTCTCCTTGCTGTGTCTGCCACGTTCGCGTCACTCTTGCACGCGTCCAATCTCCTTGCTTTTTCTTTCCTGTTCGGGTAACTCTTGCACGCGTCCCATCTCCCCGCCGTAGCTCCTTACAGGAGTTTTGAGCTGTCGCTCTGGCATGGCATGTTGGGCGACTCTCGCACATAGCGCCTTTATGGGTGCCTGGCTGTCGTCGACGGTCGCGCGATGAGTCTGTTATGTTCATACCACTATTCGACGCGTCACATCTCCTTGTTGTGTGTGTAAAAATATTATCATTCAACTATTTTGCGCCTCCCAACATATACTGAGGGCAATACATATTTAATGGTATCCATGCGGTTTGCAGTGGCCGGAGTCTGCAATTTTACCCGAATTGCGATTGTCACCCTCTTTTCAATGATGATATGTTGCTTCACCAAGAAGCTTATTGCGTGCATATTCAAATTCCTGAGACACAACATTTTTTTTTCACGTAGTTGAGCCACTACTGGTACTGTTGATTTTTCAGGCAAATGACATGGCGCAAATATAGCATATTGTATAATTCTTATACCTCTGCTGTCATGTGATCGTGTTGCGACTCTTTTACCTCCCGCTCTGGCACTTCCATGGATCAACGTCACTCCATACTAGTGTGTCGCTGTCTTCTGTGGCAGTCACACAGCAATTTGTTTTTTGTCTCTTCTGACTCATGCCTCCTAGATTTTATCTCTCATCCATTCCGATTTGTATCCTAGGTGGATTAGCGTGTAGTAGTTAGAATATTTCAGTGGATGCCTGGCAATATAGAATCACTCTCTGATGCCGCAGATATAAAACATGCTTGCTTGTATTCTTGCCTCATTAACACATGACCGAGTCAAGACAGAATATAGAGACCATAGAGTGCCAAATACATCCATAATCAGTCGGTATAGCATCACTGGCAATATAGGATCATGATGATGCATTGATACTCGCCAGACGTTTAATTACAGGGTGAATGGTGTTGTTCACACTATTTGAAAGTCGCTGACGCACTATTTCCAATAGTATCAATGGGGATGACGTAAATTATATTTGTTCATGTATCACCTGTATTCCAAAACGAGAACACAAGGCCACACAACTCTTCGGTCTCAACGATGAAGGTGCCACTCGAGATTTTGATCTACATATTCACTTTGGCCACTAGGAGCAGAGGAAGCGCAGTATCCTGGATGTTGTATCAACAGAGAAGCATGCCCTGGTCAGTATTTTATGGCACGCCCAATGTGAAATTGATCTCACTGATTATACTGATCGCATTCATCATTGGACTACAGGTTCGAGAAACAACTTTATGAAAAAGTTTTACTTTCAGATGAAGACGAGGCTTCTTTGTTCGTACAATGCCTGCGCCGTCGGCAATTGTGCGAGGAATTTGCAGAGACAGTCATCAAAGCCATCTCGCTCTCCGGAGACATAAATGTCGTCACCATAATGGATATCCTATCACTCTGTAAAGGAATCAAAAATCTTTCCCTGCGTCCCCAAAACGATTTTCTTGAAGATGAGGTGGCACCCCTCCTACAATTGCTGGACACCTTACCCCTCAAGGTACTATCTCATCAAATCGGCGTCCCTTTCACTTCCTCTTTGATCTCTAATGTCACGCTCTTCGCAAAAATCACCCATCTTGAGGTCGACGATCCTAACATGCTTCGGGATGTTCAAATGTCATGCTTTCCTCAGCTGACGCATCTCTCCCTGTGGGGTTCCTCGTACAAATCAGGAACAAATATACCGTCTTTGGTGAAAAATATCCTCGCCAATGCAACCCTTGAAGTCATAATATTCCGCGTCGAGCAACACCAGCAATTCGCAGACTTCCTGAATATCCACGAGCTAAATGACCCTCGCATCGTGCTCGCAACCTCAAGAATATATTTGTGGGATGATCTCGGGCGTTCATGTATGCTATTCTGGGAGCTAGCCGAAGAAAAGGCGAAATCGCCCAATCCTAATCACAGTACGTCCCTCCTGTTGATATTAAATCTAGGTACACAATAACCCATCGTCTAGACAATCATCGCTGCTTTACAAGGTCTGCCCTGACCAACGGAGTCAGGGATTTCATGGGCATCGAGAGGGTACCGGAAGATCACCTGGACTATGAGATTGTTCGGGCCAATGTAATCGGCGAGGACGGTAGGGTACGAACCGCTTATTTCGGTAACGCTCCTGGCTCTAGCATATTCACGGAGGAGAGCGATGATGACATGGACACGGACGAGGACTACAGTGATGATGACATCGACGAGGATGAAACTCAAGATGGCACTGAGGAGTAGGGCGATTCAGGAATAGAATTCCAAGTCTGATGCTGAAGGAAACTATCCTTCACCTACAGGGATTAGCTTATAGACTGACTTTGAGCACATAGTAAGACCGTAAAATACCAATAGTTCTAAATGTACATATACCTTGACTTCATTATTGAATTATTGGCCAGGACGTTCACGTCATATTTTAATACATGTACCACTAGCTCACTCAGGAAGGTCGTATTGTACTCGGACTTCAAGTCTGACATTGAGGACTAGGTTAAAATTTCAGGACATAATGTGAAGACTTTTATGGGGGACCGTATTGGACAAAAATCACGCTCTTGGTTTTATACTTTTGTTCCTGACCAAGGACTCTTTCGCATTGTCAAACAGGACCTAGCATCTCGATGTCAATACTCCCACTAGTGTCTTTGCGGGAAATGGTCCAGAGCCCTTCCTATAATGCTGAAATCACTCAGCACTGTGAACCTGTTGTACGTCTGTGAAATTTCCATGTGCTAACTACGACACATGTACTGATTAGTCTGATAATACAATGATCCCTTCAGATATCTTAGTGCCATGTTCCCGACTGAGCTCCACGTTCGGGCAGCGCATGAATTAAGTCACTCCGAGTCCAGGCTGGTTATTGACCACATTTTTCGACAGTTGCAGTTCGTGCGCGACAGCAAATCATCCTTCACTACTACGGGTTAAGATAACCTGTATACTGGTGGCCTTTCATTAGAGGTTCAAAAGCTATCTGAAGATAATTCATCGTCTCAGTCACTTTATCATTCTCAAAATCCTCCAAGCAGACAATGTCTCTCCCCGAGAACACAACCGTGCTTATTGTGGGTGCAGGCCCCGCAGGTCTCATAGCTGCTCTTGCTCTCGTTCACAACAGGTGCTATGACATCGTTATCGTGGATGCCGTAGGCGAAGGATCCAATTCATCGAGGTCCATTGCCATACACTATGCAATCATCGAGGTAAGCTACCGTGCATTCATAAGAAGGCCTACTGATGTTCTTGTGATCTTAGGCTTTAGCAAGAATCGATGTCGCAGATGGGTTACTGTCTCGAGCCATCAAGGGAAACGCGCTTTTCATCCCTGTGACCGAGCTTGTACTTATGCAGAAGTTGCAGAGCCTTGGTGTGCAGGTGCAGCGTCCACACAAGGTAGTAGGAATGAAACTGAATAAAAAGGACTCTCGTATCACTGATGTGGATACATACATTATCGGCACAGATGGCACCCGCTCAACTGCGAGACCTCAATACCCCCCAACTTAGCTTAGTGGAATGTCTGACGACCATTTCCAGATCCGTACCATCGCCGGTATAGGGTTCTCTGATCCAGAAGGCCCACACATAATCAATGAAGAGTTGGCTCAAATGGTCTCTGCAGATGTCACATTCGAGCCCGAACTTGTCGGTCCACTCACCCTCGAGGGCCACCTTAACGGTGCAGTCTTTTCGGGCAATTTATTGATTTACCATTTGGCAACCACCTCAATGTTGCCGTAGGGACATGTACAACTAGGTACATAAGCCAAATGACTATTTCAGGCGCGGCAGGACCACACCTGGCCCAAGCAGAAGACAAAAGAAGTGCTGAGTCCATGTGAATTTGATCAAACCAAAAGCAGACTTGGAGTGGTGCCTTACGAGGGTGAAACCAAGATCAAAATATTTAAAAACATGTTTTGAACTTGTCCTTAACTTGTGCTAAGGTCCCTGCATTTGTTTTTCTTCGTAAGTTTTTGACCATGCCTAGGTCATCATACACCATGACTCACCGTGATTCATTATGAACTTGTTGTATCTTAGGCAAACTCAGGTTAACTCAAGTCGTAATTTTTTTTGTCCAGTAGTGACCCCCAAAGACCCCCAAAGACTTTGAGGACTCTGTTTGAATTTGAGGACGTACTGGGACTTTGAGGACTCGGTTTGAATTTGAGAACATAATTTGAGGACTTCGAGAACATCCCGAGACTTTGAGGACGTACCTTAGCTTTGAGGACTCTGTTTGAATCTCAGGACATACCTTGAATTTGAGGACTCGTGCTGAATTTCATACCTTGCCCTAGGACTTCAAGAGACTTCGAGACTTCGAGGACTTTCCGTTTGACCTTGAGGACGTCATGGAACTTTGAGGATACAGTCAATTTATCTCGCATTTGCGTTTATCATCCATCGAAGTACTAGCAGCCATGTATATATACATTGATCCTCAATTAAAATTCATACAAGTGCACATTCATGTTGCAAATATCATACATTGTACACTGGCCTTTTATTCAATATCCTCTGTATCAAACTGTATCGGGTAATTTATTTACGCGTGCCCATCAAGTACTGGCTCCTGATACAGAACTTCCACATGTATGACGTCGAATTGGTATATTGGATGGAACTGCTGTTATGTCAATGTTCATTTGCGCAGCGGCTGTGCTTCTTTATGACGAATAAAAACAATGCCACTGAGTTTAGTGTTGCTTATGTAATATTCAACACAATGGAACCAAATTGTGGCGTCTTCAATCTCAACTTTCAATTACCATGTCTGAAATTTTCACACTGTACTGCTGGATACGAGGCACGGAAATCGACCAACATTTCAGTGTCAAAATATCACGCTTTGAAACGGTCGATACTTTGAAAAATGTGCTGAAGAAATCTCAGGCTATCGATGTGCCTGCTTCAGCTCTTCGACTGTACAAGCCCAGAAACCCGGTGGTCGAACCATATGATCAGAATCTTCGCAATGTTATCCTATCCGAGCTTGGGAAACCATTGATAGCAATGCATAAACTATCATCCCTGTTCAAAGCAGCACCACCAGAAGAGCACATTCATATCATTGTAGGTATGTAATGGCGGCGAACAAATTTTGTCCTTGAGATTGATTCTCATAGCACAGATGCACCACAACTTGTTATTAATTGTTGGTTGCGAGGTAGCACTGGCGAGGAGTGCTTTGACATTTCAATCAGGTCAAATGCATCGATGGGAGCACTGAAAGATGAGATGAAGGAAAAGGAATCACAACTTAAAGACGTAGATCAAAGTCGCATTCGATTATACAGGATATCCGAATCCGAGGACGAACTCCGGGAGAATCTTGATACCCTCAATGCGGGTCACTTACTCGAGGCCAGATCCATACCGCTATTCAATTATTTTCTGGGCGTACCAGTCCTTGAACGTCTCTATGTTGTTGTCCAAGTTTACTCCGATAACAATAGTGAGTTAATGTATGATCTCGTTGAATTGTACAGATGAAACTAATTTCTTGCTGGTAGGGTCGACGAATCCTCCTCTCCGGGTAAACCGGGTGATAGAAGGAGAGGACCCGATTAAACTTGCACGGGAATCATTCCTCGCAAATATGGACGACTATTCTAGAAAACAGAAATCACGTTCAACATCGAAAAGATCGCCCTCGCCTTCCAATGCTTCAAATCCTTCATCGTTTCGTGAACGACAGCAGGATGAAAAATTACGGATAGCCTGTGGTCGTCCTCGCGAGGTCGAGGAAGCTATTCCTGCCACATTGCTACATCCAGTCTTCGGCCAATTCATCGATGACAGCCGGACTCATACTATAACGGAAGACGACAATAATCTCGTCGATGAACTGGCGAATGCCATGTCAGCCCTTCATGACACTGAAAAAAAGCGGGTAGAAACGGTTAGCGAGGTGCTCTCAAGGTACAAGCTCGGCTTTCGCCTGAACAGCAAGGTGCAAGGAACAGCATATTTCACGGATGCAGAGATGTCCGTCGAAGTTCAAAACTATCGGCATAGTTTTGTCATTGCCGAGTTCAAGAACGAGGCGGCGGTCTCCAGTTCGGAACCATACATGCAGGCTCTCTCGTACTACCTGGAGTCAACGAGAGTGTCCGCACCTAGGATGTCGGGGTCTGCTTTACCGTGTTTCCTGCTCATACTTTTTGGTGAGTACCGATATTTCCTGAGTCTTAGAATATGACAAATGAGAACCAATTATTTCTCCAGGACCATATATTGTCTTCGCCGGTGCTGTGTGGACTTTGCGCCCTGCTGTGCAGATACTTTCGAGCCCTCTTGCATTCAATTATCATTCCACGGATACCGATAATCAGGTCACCGCCGCACGTCACATGGCTGCATTCTGCAAAGCTGTTAAATCGCTCGAGAGATATTACAAAACGCTCCCTCCTGAATCTGAACTTGCCAACAGGCTATCTCACCCTATACTCTTTCCTTACCCCACAAGCTTCATAGCTCTCGACGACAACAGCAAACAGAATTTCAACTATAGGGAGCATCTCGGACAAGATGAGGGAAACCCGAAAAGACTTATCTTTTTCGGAACCCTCGCTGAAGGAGATGCTAAGGTTGCGATATGCATCAAATTTGTCCGACGTTATTCAAGGGATGCTCACATGCACTGCGCTCTATCTGGCGTCGCCCCTAGATTACGAGGATTCGAAAAGCTCCCTGGAGGTTGGTACATGGTAGTCATGGATGAAATTGTCGGATACGATGTATTGGCGGACTTGCCCAATACTGACCTCCTCCCCCGATCGGTTTTCCAGGCCATCGGAGAGCAGCTGAAGACACTGCATGCTCGCCAGCTGGTTCATGGCGATATACGCGATACTAACATCTTGGTGAAGAAGGATGATTGGACAAAGTTCATGATCATCGACTTCGACTGGGCGGGGGTAGAAGATGTCGTGCGTTATCCTCCATACGTTAATTACACCAAGATAAAGAGACCACATGAGGCGAGAGATGGACTCCCAATTACGGCGGCTCACGATCTTGCGATGCTCGATTCCATCATCGAAACGAGGGCCGAGAATTAATCATATCACATCACAAAATGTACATTCTACTATATTTTTTGTACGTGAGAATCCTAAAGTCCAAGATGTCACGGAGCCGATGTATGCCTTGCGCATGAATCCCAGTCAAAACCCGCAACAGGCTGAGCCATGCTGAGCCACGAGAATACAGAGGGAAGCCACGCTGAGCCATGTTTAGACAGACTTTGGTTCGTTTTTCCAGGTCACGTCATGTAAACAAATTAGCTACGAACCCAGAAAGGCAACATCATTGGCAACAACACTTACTTGTCTCGTCGTTCACCATATTTGCTGTATCTAGGCTGTAAAGTACGAGAAGCATGCAAAGCAACTTTGCTGTTTGTGCTTTCCCTATCTTGCAGTCTTTGGCCCCATTCATTGATGCATCTGAAATCTTACTATTGCAACTGTACCAGGAAGTGCGGGGGAGTCCACAAGGAAATTACTCGGGTGTTATTTGCATGTCACTGTCGTTTGCTCATTCTGTTGTTTCGATCCATTACTCTGTCCAATGCAAGTGTCCGCGTTGCTACAGGGCTATCCATGCTGATTTATGTAAACTCGTTCCGAAGTCGTACAGGGATATCCAGGAAGTGGTTCAAATATCCATACTCAGCCAGGTTTCCTAAGCGGGCTGGCTGAACATGGCTGAGCCTGTTGCGGGTTTTGACTGGGCATGAATACGGATAGGTGCAAGCTTGAGGTCAGCAGAGATTTTCCTATTGCCCATGGACGAAAGCTCAAAGTTTGTAGCAGTGTTGTGTAAATTTAGGTAAATTTTCACTAAGTCCTTCCTTGTTGTTATATGTTTTGGATTTGCGCCAGTGCAATTATATTTGCACGCAGCTGTAATTAAAATATGTTGAAGATTGAGGAAGGTGTCAAACCATGATTTATTTAACTGTGCAAAAGAACATTTGCTCTGAAATAAGAGGATGAGCACTCACAGAATGTTGCGAGCGCACGCGAGATTGAAGGTTGAGATATGGACTGCATCATAACGTACCGCTTGTCAGGATAAAAAAGTGGGATTATATGTTCATTGAAACACTTATGGGTTCACACATAAGTAGACATGCCAATCACTCAGGCAGGAAGCATAGATAACTACGACAGTCGCCTACCGTAGCATGCCAGAGCGACAGCTCAAATCCCCTGTAAGGAGCTACGGCAAGGAGGTGGGACGCGTCGAAGAGTGATACGAACAGCACGGACATATCGCGCGACCGTCGACAACAGCCAGACACCTATAAAGGTGCTAAGCGCGAGAGTCGCCCCATCATACCATGTCAGAGCGACAGCTCAAAACTCCCGTAAGGAGCTACGGCAAGGAGATGGGACGCGTGCAAGAGTGATGCAAACAGTACAGACACATCGTGCGACTGTCGACGACAGCCATTTACGCCCATAAAGGTGCTAGACACGAGTGTCACTTCTCACATGATGCCAGAGCGACTGCTCTTTGCCACCCTAAGGAGCTACGACAATGTGAGAAGGAAGTGGATTGGGAAGAGAACAAATCGAGCGGAAGTTGAAATTCAACGCCTTTTTGAACCACTTGATATTTCCACGCCACATATAATTACATAAGATGACGTCACTGAGATTACATCTGAGACGCAGCCTGTAAAGTCCCATTGATGCATATTTCAACCCATTTCTCTGTTGTGTGAATGATGGACAGTTTCTGAATAAAAACACAAATATAAATAAGGATAAAGCTCTATTCATTCAAAACAAAGCGAATTTGTTTCATAATTTGCATACATTGCATATGAACCACATGTATAAAGTTTAGTTACAAATACATATTTTCGTATCGGTAGTCATTCAGAAACTGCATGTAACGAATTTACAAAGCAAAATTTACAGGTTAGCATTCTGTATCACTTTAAGGATTCCATCCTTCATCTCTGCAATATTTGCCACATAGAATGAAGTTAAGTATGATATTAGTTATTCCCCCGATGGTCTTTCATGATTTTTGCCAATACCCTAAATCCAGGTTCATATTTGACATCAGCTCCTGGATGCAAGAGTCGGAGCTTGCATAGATATCGAATCACATCTGCCATAGCTTTGACGCTGTTGATACGCTTCTTGAGAAACGCGTAACGTCAGCAACGTGTCATTTAGGTCCACAAAAAGGAAATTCACAGATATGTGTATTTCAAGAGCAATGGTTAAAGATGATGCATCCTCTAAGGCACGGGTGGACAGCTCAACCAGGACGTGGTGTGCCTGGTGTCAAATGAAAGAATATCAGCACGATAGCAGGGTCTACCGCTATTACGCACCAATGGAGATAGTGACATGTCCTTTGCTTCCAACGCAACCTTGCAGTCGAGGGCGACATCTTCAAGCCAAAATTCAATCTTCATTAACGATGCTGCTGCAGTGATTGTGGAATCAGACAGGGATTTCGTCGTCAATGCAGACGCGATAAATCGTGCTATATTCAACAGTGAGTTGTACTGTGATGCGGTGTTCTTTTGGATGAAGTCGTCTCTCATCGGATCAAGGAGAAAGAGGTGTATCTATGCGGTCACATTATGTTAGAATCTACAGAAACGCGTGAAATCCTTACAGACGGTGAAATTGTTGTGGAATCCAATCCCTTTATCAGGTCTTCTATGGTATAATTGACACCTGGCGATAGAGTCCTCGCCTTTTTCTTGGGTTGAACCAGTGGGCCAGCGAATATTACCGGTCGTCCAGTGCGAGGCCGATCTTTAACCACATCATGCTGTGATACCGAGTTTTCATGGCGCCGTTTCTGGGTTGGTACTGTAGCACATGTGACCTTCTTGACATTCCTGGCCCTTAATCTGGTGCGAGGGACAGTATCATGATCACTAGGGGGGTCGCTATGATTGTCTTGTGTAGTATATATTGTGGGAGCTTGAGATTGGCAGTCAGCAATGTTGACAGTTGTTGGCGTCGAGGCTGCTGCAGATTGGTTGTCGGAGTCCATAGTAAACAATGGCTCTGTAGTGTGTATTGAAATGTGCGATTGATCTGTAGAGCAGTCATTATGGTCCTCTGATGGTAACACATTTTCAGTGTTAGTCTGAATAAACGAGATAAGCATGTTCAGAAAGGTTGAGCGGGAAATTTCATACTTCATAGTCGTGTGTGAGGGAGCAGTTGAGCGATGTGATGTGTGCGGTATCAGTGCCCATGTCCCCAGGATCCAACTGCGACTCTATATCGCACTGTACACCACACTCAATACGCATGTCTGACAGATGCGGGCCTCGAGCCGCACAAACGAAAAAATCTGCAATAGTCTGCCGCTCCTCTGCTATGGCTTGTATAGCACGAAGGAATTTGAACATCCCAGAAATTTCGTGGAATTCCTCATAGGTGGCTTGACATTCAGACCCATGCTGAATAGCATCATCGAGTGGGGTGTCCTCGTCCAGTCCATAGAGTTCACGTATCCGCACGACAATGTGTGCAATTAACCATCGTGAAAGGTCTACCCGAATGCTGGGAACGCCCATCGAACCAATAGCTCGTTTGCAATAGCCCCAGTCAAACGGCAGTGGGAACTTGAAATGGTCCGTCAGATGAAGTACAATCGTGGTTGATGTACATACTGGCTTCAACACGGAACCTGAGGAATTTGTCTTTTTAGCAAGACTTGATACACGAGTACTATCATCAGTAGCCTGTCCGATATTCAACATCGAGTTTTCATTCGGTGGCTAGAGGTGCGTCTGTGAGTATATATAATGAATGAATACTTGTGCGTTGGAACATACTGCAAAATATGACGCTGCGAATGTATCGTCCACAGCGTTATATATGTTGGTGGAATCGACCACTATCATACTTTCGGTGTCCTGAGGACAAACAATTGGTTCCATGGCGGTATGAACTGAACATGACAAGGGCTGAATATCTTCTTGCTAGCGGAGCACAAGTGTCATGATCCAGCAGTGAAAAAAACATAAATAGGGGACATACCATGAGATGGATAGCTGGTATTGACTGATTAGCCGTGTCCAGTGCGTGACCAACAGTGAGGCTTAATGACCTCTCAGGCTCGAAACCAAGTGGCTAGAGGAGTGTCAGTGAAAACATCCAGTTGATGCGTGATTGTGAGTTATAACGTACTGTGATATCTGGGAATGTGAATATATCGTCCAGAGTGGTGTATATGTCAGTGGAGTCGACCACTGTCATACTATCGGAATACATGGGAGTATCAACTGAACCCAACAGGGGCTGAATATTGTCCTACCAGAGGAGCACAATGAGCACGATTTAGTAGAAGAACAACGTTAAGGAGGGAGACATACCATAGGAAGTGTGACTGATGTTGGTAGAATATCCGTGTCAAGTACACGCGAAATGATAGGGCTTGATGACATCTCATGCTTCTGACTGGAATCCATAGAGACATCTACTGCATCCAGAAGACACTGAAGATCCTCCTCGGAGGCGTAGCCCTGAAATGCCCCACAAATATCGTGCTCATTACAGTTGGCTGTGTGGTAGGATCCCCAGTCGACTATTATCATGCAAAATCAGTGACTGAGATATGTGATTCAACAGCGGCACACTAACGGAACGATATGATATCCTGGCACTCTCGATTCTGTACGGACTTGAAGGTCACCTTATGGCTCTGTTCTATTTTTGCACGACAGAGTTCATGGAAGCCACCGGCCCTGTGGTCCAACCATAGATAGTAATCCAGTGCTGCAGATCTGAAGCCAGCTTGGAGCGGATCAGGCGATCCTCGGGCATCTGCACAAAATGTGATTCGCACATTGTGCATGTATTCCATGATTGAAAGATATGTATCTCGTAGTTGTGAAGCAAGTGGCTGTGATGAGCTAGTCAGGTGGGTCACAATCTTCCTGTAAATACCGAATTTTTTGTTGACAGCTCGAAGGGGCACCCGGTAGTGTGCGGCGATGTGGCCGCTCTCCGAGGGCCGTCCAACCTGAAAAACCTTTAATAAACACTCCCCATCCACGTCTTCGATCGTCCCCTTTGATTTCATGAGGGTTCTTGCATTGCGGCTGCTCCAGTGCCGGAAGCGAAAGAAGGGATCCATTGATGGTACAAAGTACACTACACGTCTCATGTAAAAACAAATTAGGGTTGCATATAGCACTATAACACATGGGGAACCGCAAAAATCGGATCATGATCATTTAATAGTACCGCCTTATTACATACAGCCATACCGCCTCATTACATACAACTATGCAACATCATTACATACACAGCCTTTATGGAATATTTTGTGATTCTCTGTGATTAATGTAACTTGTTTGACGCGAATCTCAACCTTGCCAGAGATTAAATTATGTTAGGCATACGAAAATTTGTATGTATTGAAGACAGACTTGAAAGTTCAGCACAACGCATCTGCGCAGCATGGACACATATAATAACTAAAACCCTCAGAAACCTCAGAACCCTCGTAATCTGTTTCTGTTAGGCTAGCCTTCCATCCATTTGGAAGTTTCCCATTAACCCTAACCTCTTTCAAGAGTGATCTGGCGCGGGAATAGATCCATCCATTGCCAACCACACCATATGGTCCACCGCGGCAAATGGGCATGATTAAAATAGCGACGAAGTCTTCCTCCAGCTGAATACCATCATATGTCGCTGGCAGCTTGGATTCTGGAACTTGATCGGTATGGAGTTCCAGAGCATCTAGACACTCGTTAGTGAACCATTGTTTGCATTTCCTACAGTATCTCTGGGAAATGCTGGGAGAGTACAGCATAAGATTGCATCCATCACAGCGACACTGCGATGCTCGCTGTGTGTTCTGTGGATGATATGGACTTCAATTCAACAGGGATGGATACCACAAGGAATACCCTTACATTGAGGTGCACACCATCAATGTTCACATCTTTCCGGTGCCTAGCAAATTTTATCGTGACATTCCACCGATGATATGGGGTCTCAGGGGGTACTGGATGTTGTGCAAGGTTACATTCATCATACTTGATAATTGTAGCATGGTCTGACATGAATAGAAAATGCGTCAAACTGTGTGCAATATATGGAATGACACGCACCCTCAATGCACATCATATCAACCAATGAAATGTGGTCACTGAGCACTAGCTCATATTCACCGATAGATTCAGCCAGGCTGTCTTGAGCGTCAGATATCTTGCTCTCTGGTGGAAATAATTTTATTACTCTACCCCGGCATCCTCCAGGTCGACGCGTCTATAATACCACTGAATGTCCAGCCAGACATCCTTGATAAGACTACATCAGCAAGTCATATCATCTGCATTTTAAAAACGCTGACATGGGTTTTTTCTCGTGGTCTCAAATAGATTTTGGAGACTTTGCCATACCAATATGACATGATGGGAAGGCTGCCGTCTGTTTTTGTCACCGCCCTTGCGTCATCTGGGAATATTGCAACACTGAAATGATTTGTGTCAACATCTTGATACACGAATAAATAAATCTTTGACACGCACGATTCCCCAACCCTAAGTATGAGACGATTCAAGTCGTTTGTGGCACATGAATCATCTTCCGTGCTGTAGACCCCTGTAAATAACATAAAGTAACTCAGGTTCAAGGCATTGATTCACAGATCATTGGGAGTCAGGGTACATACATTCAAAGGACCTACAGGTCCGCAATCGACGAGTATTTGGCTGACTGCCACGCATGGGGGGTAATTTTCTGCGATTGACATGTGATGCAGAGCTAATGATTGACAGACGATGAGACATTGAGAGTGAGGAAAAATAAATTGGGTAGAATTGACACGGTGCCCGTGCAAATATGGAGTGAAGTCAACTAGGAGGCCTCTCAGGTGTCGGAACTGCCATATTTAAGAATCCCACATGGTTGAATATTGCAGCTAATTAATTTTTAACGCCTAAAATTGCATAGGCACTGCTGACTCTAGCATAGCCCCAAGTATATAGCTTTAAACCGGTTTAGATAACCCGTTCCGAACAATGGAGCTGCATACTGTACATCGTACGTAATTTGATCCATTAGGCTTTCAAAATGGGGGTGCGCAATTAGACTTGGATATATCAAGCATTATACCTGAAAATTTTGTCTTACGTTTACCGGAAGCATTAAAAAGGCTCCCAAGATCCGAAGCATCATGTGGAATCAATCGCATCGAGTGTTAGCAATTTACGGAATTCCAATCCGAGGAGACCGGATGTTCATATCAGTAGTCTGCATTCATATCTACATTTATAAATTTGCCTCGACTCAGACTCTCTAACCAGCGCGATGGAGCAGGAAGATACACTTAACATCATGGAGGATATTTTGGCCTGTGGCATCCTAAATTCCAGCCCACACAGCAAGAAAGCAGAAAGGCCTCCTTTTCAACCCACGACATCTGATGCAGGCGATGATGGGTGGAATACGGACATAGATATATCTGGCCTTCTTGTGGCCATAGAGAACTGTGGAATACTGGATACTGGAGAGGCTAGCATAATACAAAATAAACGTTCGCGAGGAAGGCCAAAAAAGAAAGTGATGAAAAGAACAGTGAATCGTGAGTCGGTCAATCGGAATCACCTATCTATATAAATGAAAATTTGGTACAGCCAGCTGTAAAGACCAGGAATCTGCTTCAGTGGGTTTGGTATCATCAGCTGCTATCAATGAATGCAATTCCCACATCCGTGTAATACGTGCTACAATCAGCCCAGTCCCTGAGGACCTACCTGGAGATAGAAAGATAGTCAAAGTCAGGAACAGTAATGCAAAAAATACTCGATTGAAAGGAGTCCTTTTTGCTGGACAGGATAAAAATATCGGAAGCACGGATGACACTCAATCAACCAGGCTTCAAACAACAAAGAAAGCTCGAGGACGTCCAAAAAAGCGGGTGGTGGGTCAGTAATTTTGTATGACATAAGGTCAACATATTTGAACATTAAATTCCAGGAAGGTCCGGAGAGAATCATTTAAAAATGGGCGTTGATAGTGATCTACATGGTCATAGCATGGGTGAGGACAGAAGCCCCTCAGGGCCTTATTTGATTGATATAGATAGAAAATGACGCTGACTTGCCTTAGAAAATTTCGATTCGCAAAAAAAAAAAGTGGATGATGAAGAGCATCGGACAAACCCATCAGAATCACAGATTATCCAGTCGCTGTCACAAGTTCCAGGTACACAGACCATTACTGACATTGATTGTGAGTGTATCTCTACAAGGAATATTGATATAAATAATTTTTAATTAAAGACACAGCTCATGCAATGTCACGACCAACTATTTGGACAGATGCCTGGAACAATTTGCATACCCTTCGATCAAACATGTGGATTGATGCGACAGTGGCAAACTTTTATCTTTCACATGTCTGGTATGATCGGCAAGCCCAATCCTGCATGAGATATCTGGACATGTATGCAGCTATGGCTATTGACCTATGCGCCGATGAGCTGGAAAGCATAAGGAGGAACCACTTCATCCCTCAAAACGCTACATGTACTGTAGTTCCTGTGGGATTTGTCATCCACAAATGGGACCATTTCTTCACCGTCATATTTGACTATCAACGACGTACAGCACACATCCTTGGCCGCCATATTTCAAATGATACAATGCATGTCGATGGCACCAACCGAGATGAATGGAAGGCATGGGGAGGACCTGGATATTGGACGACCGTTGCAGCACTCCATGGTTGGACGGCAGGAGATCCTACCGATGTTAGCATCAGAGCTCAAAACTGGGAGCAAAATGGAGTAGACTGTGGCCCTATAGCATGCTCTGTGCTTGAGCAAATTCTGACAGCTGGGTTGGACAGAGACGGGAATGTGCCGCCAGTACACATACACTGTGGGCACACACTGCGCATGAAGATATTCCGCATTGTTTCTGCGCAGATTGCGATCAGGTGCAGAGACTACATTGTGCTCCTAGAAAATGCCGAAGCACAGTGTACATCTCACGAAATTCCTGATGAAGATATCATCTATGCAATCCAGCATAAGAAGTATCCTATAGAATGTCAAGGTCTGCTAGATGAATTGGCCGCCTCAAGTGCTATATGCGAAGCATGCAGACACCCGACATTAATCAATATGACTAGGAGTCGCTTTCGCACCAAAAAATATTACCATGAAATCTCATATGATGATAACAATCAATTGGAGGATCAGGAGGGAGTGGATGAATATAATATACCACAGGGTAAGTTCAATAAAATTTCGCCTGAGATGGATCACTGTAGTAACATTTTGCGCATTCCCGAAATTATTTCATAGAGTCATCATACACCACGCAGACCAGTCACATCTCACGCACACATCGATGGGGTCATGGACAGAAAGCTAGAAAATCTTATGCGATCCGTGTTACTGTCAGCCCTGTACCAGGAAGTAACATTACACCAGCATCTGCAGCATATGTGAAGGCCAATGGAAATTCCACACATGTAACTCAGAAGAATATTAAAGGCCGTCCAAAAACAAAATCTGTGCATTCCCGTGGGGCAGGTTTGTCTTCATTTGATACATGATATACAAGCCTGCTAACTGTTAGGTTACAGGACAGAAAAAACTGGTGCATATTAAGAAGGCTGTGGGATGGGAGGATAGCTATGAATTCGAGTACATCGCACATGAGAACCGTTACAAATCGGGAGATGAAGGAGGACAAAAGGACTATGAAGGACCACATTGTGAGCGCTCAAATAATCTCACAGCTGATTTGAGGAACTCAATGTTTGTAATGCAGCCTCACGCGATAGGAGACATGATGATGAAGCATACTGCCCGACTCCACCATCTGAGACATCATCTGAGAGAGCAATACCAGATCACGAATATAGACCTACACCATCACAGCAAGATGAGCTACAATTACCACCAATCGATGGAAAAAAGACTGTAATGGTTGAACCAACGGAGGAGGAAATAGCATGTGAGTTCGCATTGGTGTGTGGTCAATGAATACACAGTTATAACTCAATCACAGCTTGTGCAATGGCCAGACCAATTGTTTGGACGTCTGCATGGCACAACTGGAAAACACTCGGACTAAATGAATGGCTTGATGCGACAGTAGCAAACTTTTATTTGTCCAATGTGTGGTATGAGATGCTGGGCAGGTCATGCATGAGATATGTGGACTTGTATGCAGCCATGGTGGATCAGATGATGGATGAAGAACTGGAGCTCTTCAGGAGGAGCCATTTCTTGCCTCAGAGAGGCACATGTCCTGTGGTCCCTGTCGGATTCATAGTCCATCATTCCGATCACTTCTTCGCAGTCATTTTTGACTATCGACGATGCACAGCGCATGTCATGGGTCGCCATATTCCTGACTCAGTAATGGACGTCGATGAAGTGGATTTACATGATTGGAATGATTGGAGTGGGCCACAATACTGGAGGAGAATTGCATCGCTTCATGGCTGGAGTACAGGGGATGTCAGCGATGTGTCCGTGATACACAAGGATTGGACACAGAATGGAGTGGACTGTGGTCCTATTACTTGCTCCATGCTTGAGCAATGCCTCACCTCAGGATTAGATGAGCATGGCAACCTGCCAGCGCTTCAAGTCCAATGCGGCCACATACTGCGCATCACCATGTTGCATAAAATCGCCGGGCGCATCAAACTCAGCTGCAGCGACTACCTGATTCTACTGGACGGTCCGCAAGATTATTGGAGAGAGGATGATGTGCCAGATGAAGATGTTATCTCTGCGATTCAAAATGGGCGGCACCAGGCTGAGTGCCTCGAGCTCATGCGTAAATTGACTATCTTGAGCGCCACTTGCTCGATGTGTCAACGTCCCATTCTACACCAGGATAATGAAATCCCCTCCCAAAATGAGGATAATGGAGATATGAACCTAGTCGATCAGGATGGTTTGGATGCTGAATGGAGCGAAGGCGAGGATACACTCGGCATTTCCCTACCTGCAGCCAGGAAGGTGCATCTTGCAAAGTTGTTGAAAGCGAACAAACAACTAGCAGGATCCCGACACCGCAATTCAATAGTCCCTCGCTCTGTTGGAACACACCTCGAATTGGAACCAGAGATACTACCTCATGTAAATTATGCAGGCGACTCCCAACGCTCCAAATCTGCCTTAGCATCTCGGAGGCGAGTGAAAAACTTGAATCTAGGAAGCAACAAACGATTTCCACGTCCAATTCCACCACTCCCCCTTTCTGCATATTCAGGTAGGAGGTGGCTCAAGGATGACCTCGCATTCGACGATTATGAAGGTGGGCCTACAATCGAGATGTTGATAAAACCCAGGGATATAAATCCAACGACGACGTTGTGTGCTGGGGAAATCCAACTCTCTACTGCCTGGGTAAATTGGGTCGACCATGGATATCGCATCACGCCTAGCTCATTCCATATATTCTATCAATGCGACCCCACGGCCACCATGGACCACATCATGCCTATTGGAACGACCAGCTCCTATGATGCTTCAAATCAGATTCCAGATCGAGTGACGGGTGCATACAGCCTTGCACGCCTCGGTCCATATCAAGAAGCACGGCACACGCATGTTACAGATGTGGAAATCCTCTCTGCTTCCGAACTCATCGATTCAGCGCAATACGACCCCCCTCTGCATGAAGAATGTAGGTTCGGACACAATGCCTTTGTCCGTGGCCACACAAGTCATAGATATGGTGATGGCCCTGCATTATACGTCGACCTGGAAAGAGATTCAATCACATTTTCAGAGGATGAGATAGAGACATCGGTGGACATAGACAGTATAATTTGGACGACAAAGGTGTTCCGATGCAAGGGTTCTGTGGGGATCTACATCACTCCGCCATTTCAAACAAAGCCTGGCATATTCAAGCACAATCACACATATGTCGACATTATAATACCGCAGTCAGAAGAGGATGCCAACAGTCCTGGTGGAAGAATGGAATGGCTGTCCAAAAGATTTCCCATGTCTGCCATCCCTCACGCCTCTATTGGGCGCATATCCTCCGCTTCCTCGACACTCAATCTTTATGTTGCATTCCCAAGGATGATACATCAACATCCGATGAATGGTCGTAGAATCACCCTGATGCCAAAAGAGGTCTTGGATATCTTTTGGGATAGAGTGCTGCTGCCATCCGTAGGAGACTGCACCGACGTCAGCTGGGCGCCTTACCTCAAGCACACTTTGGAGGAGGCAAGATATAAGGCGAGAGGTAGAGATGGACGCAAAGGCGGATGGGGACCTCCAAAGACGATGCCCCTCTCTGATGATGACTTCAGAGATGTTCAGAACCGTATGGAAGCTCGCATACGTGATGGAGGGGGAGAGCTTAGTATGTATGGATCGTTGTTCTTTATTCTGGAGGGAAAGGGAATCAAGCTCCTGACAAAGGATGGACAGAGAGGCCGTTTCTCAGGACCAGAGGAGGCCCTGCGTCGAAATCTGTCCGACCTTGACTGGTCATATATGATGGACCGGAGGCATGGGGAGCTTCTGGTCGATGTGGGCATCTCATTCACGCCTCGCTCTCCAGATGTTCCTGTCGTCGGGGTGTGGAGATTAGATGCGTTGGAGGCATCGTTTGGTGCGGGAGGCTACAAGCGAGGCGAGATACATCACCATAACATGCTGTCCAGATATGGCGCGCTGCAGGCAGAAATGCAACAGGAAAGGTCGCAGCAGACGCACATAGCATTCAGGAGCACCTATAATCTATACTACGAGTCGATCCGCACGAACAACAACCAGGCGAACTTTGCTTCCGACAGCGATGCATACAAGCTATCTCCTTCATACATGGCTGAATGCTTTGACATCATGAAGGTGGTCGATCATTGCAAAGGGAAGACATACGGTGTTAGAGATGAGTATAGGGTCAGTGGTAACGCAGCAAGGATCATGTTGGACAATATAGAAAGCAAGGTCGGTTATTCATACTCCATTCATTCATGATTTTCATGCAAGCTCAATTACCCTGTATAATTTCAATGCAGGCTATTCAATATCTGCAATCAGATCCAATACTATGGATCCCATCCACAATCTGGTTCGAGCTTATCAGGCGACGTGTACGGGAGATTCAAAGGACCCAAATAAGCATTGTAAAAAAGAACCCTCCAAATCTTGGCATCCTGACTGGTCTGCTAAACCACATGCTTCGCTCGACTACATCAACCCCTATCATCTATGACTCCCATGTCCGTGAATCCCTCACCCTCCTTGAATACAGGAATGTACTCGAGACAGCAGGAATGTTTTTCTTGCAGGATTTTGATATAAACAGCGACACATGCTTGGAGGAGGTGCAGCAAATCGATGATGTTAATGTTTTGGGACTTATGGGCGTAACCGCAAAGGCGCAAAGGGACAGAGCAGTGGGAAGGATGGATGCATGGCGAAGCAATGAGTCAGAATCAAAAGATTATCCTCTTGGTCGGACGCCAACCTGGACTAGCCTCAAGACAGCCATCTTACACTCACCTGGGACGATCATGAGAGAATGGTCATGGACGTCCAGGATGTCCAACATTCAACTCACTGTTGGACGTTTGGTCGTAATGTTCACAAGGCATATGTGGCTCATGCTGACGCAAGAAGTCATGAAAGGCATCATACCCTACCCTAACTCGCTTTATGATGCCATGAAGTGCTGGACAATAACAAGCATCGACGATACACTCGCTTCCGTCGCTTTTGAAGCCTGCAATGCTGGTTTACATGACCATACAGGCGTAACTCCAGGTCGCTTGGGTCCCAAGTCAAGAGCCTTTGTGGACAGATGCTCATTATTTTTTCCTGACCCTGATGCTCCCCATAAGAGCAATGCTCAGTGGTGTCTACTGTGGGAAGGAGATGGATACATCGCAGAATTCCATAGGACAATGAAGACATTAGATGGGGATCAGCAGGAGTCGCTAAAGCAAGGTTTACGTGATGTATTTTCTGAACTTCACTGTCTACCTGCGAGTGGTGCGAGGGTGTGGATCCAAAAGAAGGATGCCATAGTATTCATAACAAATCCTGCATTTTACAGGATCGACCGCATTGGAAGAGGGGGCGAGAGTCAGAGGAGAGCTCCAAGAGCGCGTCGGACTATGAAGGTGATCAAAGGAAAGCGCATATTTGCGGCTGATCTGATGGACTCGCAACCATTTGACACCGATGGGAATTTGAGAAGGAAGACAGAGAGGCAAAAGCATCGGGAGATTCACAAAAAGATGACTATGGAAAAGAGAAACAAAAGGGTACCCCCACCCCCACGTCCTCGCAAGTCCAGGCCATTCCCAATGGGTGAATCAGCACATGTGGCGACAGATGATGAAATGGATGTGGATTAGAATATATACATGATGTTATATTATATAGATGCAATGAATTTGAACCTAGTCCTTCCCAACTCCCGATGGACATCTTAACTACTAGACTATCTCTTTGTATAGGGCCATGTAGCTGGAGAACATAGCTCATGCCTTTAGCTATAGCATGGTATTTCCATAGTAGCTCAGAATCCAAGCATGTAGAAAACAGGTGAACCCATCCTGGTGATTCAAGATGAAGCAGATTCTGTGTTACCTGTTCTGACATCTATTCTAGACATGCACCAGTCGCAAAATCACCACCTTCGCCTTCCTCACATCTTTGTCTCTAACTGTAATGACTGGACGGTCTAGTGGTTAAGATGTCACCCCCACAGGTGGAAAGAACTAGGTTTAAAACCTTGTCCTGCCATGATTTCAGCTTTAATTGTAACTGACTCCCTCCATCTGGTCAGAGAGGCAGGAAGCTCTGGACTCTATGAAATTTCTCTTGCTCAATATGCCATTGAGTTGGCTGTGTCTGGCATGGAGGGTGGTAGGAGATGAAGCCAGCTCACGGCTGCATCACGACTCGCATTAATCAAGTATTGCAACATCTGCTGGAGCTGGTTTCATCTTTTACCATCCTCCATGACAGACACAGCCAACTCAATTGCAAATTTGGCAAGAGAACTGTCTCAGAGTCTAGAGCTTCCTGCTTTTCCGACCTGATTGATGAAGATATGAGGTTGGGATGGGTGGGACCGTTGCATGGCGACCATTCTCTATGCCAGACACAGTCAAACAAACGGCAAATTGGGCGAGAGAACTTTCATAGAGTCCAGAGCTTCCTGCCTCTCCTCTAAAGCATGTAGCGAGTTCCTCGTTATCTTGTTTATAATCGAAGACAACACTTCAGAGCTTGATGTATGGAACTGGAAAACAGGTGAACCCATCCTGGTGATTCAAGATGAAGCAGAGTCTGTGTTACCTGTTCTGACATCTATTCTAGACATGCACCAGTCACAAAATCACCACCTTCGCCTTCCTCACATCTTTGTCTCTAACTGTAATGACTGGACGGTCTAGTGGTTAAGACGTCCCCCCCTGGAGTTGGGAAGGACTAGATTCAAATCCTTGTCCTGCCATGATTTCAGCTGTCGATATTTCAACCCTATTTTTGTTTTTCTCATATAAATGAAGATGTGTTGTTTCTTTCTGAGGCTGAATGGAGAGAGAAACTTGTTTTTCTACTCAATGACATCAAGGATGAAGGTGGTAATCTAAAGTGTGGTACTTACCTTCTTGGTGGTTTTGATATCTGTCTATCGTCAAATATTTTTCTAAGGCGGCAAGACAGGCCAACCAATTTGCCATTGAGTTGGCTGTGTCTGGCATGGAGGATGGTAGGAGACGAAGCCAGCTCACAGCTGTGTCACGACTCGCATTAATCAAGTATTGCAACACCTGCTGGAGCTGGTTTCATCTCCTACCATCCTCCATGACAGCCAAATCAATGGAAACTTATATAAGCAGTGCCATCTGCCTCGTCCCAAGATTGATTACCACCTTCACCTTCCTCACCTCTCATCCAAACATGTAGCGATTTTCTTGCTGTCTTACTTATCGTCGAAGACAAAAACTTCAGAGCTTGTCATATGGAAGTGGAAACAGGTGAACTCATACTGGTGAGTCAAGACGAACCAGTTTGAACACTGAAAACATGACAGGACGAGGATTTGAACCTAGTCCTTCACAATGAGTTCACCTGTTTCTCATTTCCACATGGCAAGCTATTAAGTGTTGTCCTGCCATGATTTCAGCTTTTTGTCTGAGTCACAAAAGTCATGTTGGTCAGTTCAGTTCAGTTGGCTGGCTGCATCTGTTCAAGTTTCATATTTTGTGTGTTCATGTGATTGGCCAGACTTGAAGCAGAAATTGTTTTGAATATGATATAACCTGCTTAATGCACTGGAAACATGAGTTTGTCCATGAAAAATAACCACCTCATTGTGCTGCCTCCGCATTTTTTCTGCTTATGTAAGCAGACCCACCTCGAGCAATGATTGATTTTTTCAACCTTCATATGACTTGCTTGGCTTCAAATAGACGTTTCACTTGGGGGTATTGAGTCCTCTGAACACGATGGTAATGCCCTTTTCATTCAAAAAAATCACATTTAAAAGTTATGAATGTCTGTAATGCTGTGTTGCTAACAGTACCAACTATTTTCACTTTTTGACTTGGTGATTCTTGGGGCATTTGAGGTTGGTTGCCACCCCTCCATGAGGGTCAAACTGTTGTTAACAGTAACAACTATTTTCGCTTCTGGGGGTATTTTTGGTTGGTTGCCACCCCTTCATGAGGGTCAAACTGTTGCTAATAGTACCAACTATTTTCGCTTCTGAGGGCTTTTTGACTTGGTGATTCTGGAGGCATGTTTGGTTGGTTGCCACTCCTCCATGAGGGTCAAACTGTTGCTAACAGTACCAACTATTTTCGCTTCTGGGGGCTTTTTGACTTGGTGATTCTGGGGGCATTTGAGGTTGGTTGCCACCCCTTCATGGGGGTCAAACTATTGCCAACAGTACCAATATATCACTCGCATGGCTCGATCTCAGGCTCATTATGAAGGTAATTGATCCATATATATAGAGCAGCAACAGAAATACTTGATCTTGCAAAGTCTTGGTATAAGTGAGTCCAAGTCCACCGCTTTTGCTTATGTAAGCTGTGTCACCCCTGTCATGCTGCCTCACTCAATGATTGATTTTTTCAGCCTTCGTGTGACTTGTCTGGCTTCATGTTGAACTTGATCTAGAGGTTATTGACCAATCTGAATGAGATGGAAATGCGAATTTGATCTGAAAAAATCAGGTTTGAGAGTCATGCTACCCCCTCCCCCCACCTACTTCACCAAGAGGCATGACTTCATGTCAATAATGATGTGAAAAGGATGTTCCCAGTATTTAAGGATCATATTAATAGATTGGAGATGGCTTCATAGTGTTCTGAACCAATATGGAATGTGATGTGCAAGTTTGCCTGATACCCCCCTCAAAGATCGATTTTTCTAGGCTTCCCATGTCTTGCTAGGACTCCACAAGTATGTTTCCTGGGGGTTCTTGATGCCTCTGAACACGATGGTAAAGCTAGTTGTGTCAGGAAAAATCAAGCTGTTGAGATATGCAGGGTCCCCCTCCCCCCCCAAACTCATATATCTTGATATTATGTAAATACCGGTATATAGAAGGATGTTCCTACTGTTTTATGATCATATAAATCGATTGAAGATGGTTCAAGAGTGTTTTGAATCCATCCTGAGACAAATATGGAAGTTTTCCTGGTACCCCCCCCAAAGATCGATTTTTACAGGCTTCCCATATCTTGCCAGGACTACAAAAGTATTTTTCCTGAGAGTTCTTGATGCCTCTGAACACGATGGTAAAGCTAGTTTTGTCAGGAAAAATCAGGTTGTTGAGATATGCAGGGTCCCCCTCCCCCCCAAACTCATATATCTTGATATTATGTAAATACCGGTATATAAAGAAATGTTCCTACTGTTTTATTATCATATAAATCGATTGGAAATGGTCCCAGAGTGATTTGAGTCCATCCTAATTAACATATGGGAGTTTTCCTGATACCCCCCTCAAAGATCGATTTTTCTAGGCTTCCCATGACTTGCTTGTCCTCTAAAAGTATTTTTCCGGAGTGCTCTTGATGTCCCTAAACACGATGGTCAAGCCCGTTTTGTCAGGAAAAATCAGGTTGTTGAGATATAGAAGGTCCTCCTCCCCCCTCCTACCTCATATATCTGACTATGGTCACTTTTAGCTCAAAACCGATACTGTAAATAATGGTCCTGGTGCTTTTAAGACGTAGAAATCGATTGGTGATGGTCCCAGGGTCTCTGGAGGTCGAAAATATTGAGTTTGGTCACAGGTATGAAAAAGTCAGTATTTGGACTTTATCTCCACATCCCAACCGCCGTTTTCTTTCATTCCGGGCTCATATTGATCCTTGGGAATCCCTCTAACATATGTACCAGCCCAAGAAGAGAAAAAAGTTTTGAACTTTGTAACCTATTTCTGTTTTGACCATATAAGTCCTCTGAACACGATGGTAATGCCCTTTTCATTCAAAAAAATCACATTTAAAAGTTATGAATGTCTGTAATGCTGTGTTGCTAACAGTACCAACTATTTTCGCTTTTTGACTTGGTGATTCTTGGGGCATTTGAGGTTGGTTGCCACCCCTCCATGAGGGTCAAACTGTTGTTAACAGTACCAACTATTTTCGCTTCTGGGGGTATTTTTGGTTGGTTGCCACCCCTTCATGAGGGTCAAACTGTTGCTAATAGTACCAACTATTTTCGCTTCTGAGGGCTTTTTGACTTGGTGATTCTGGAGGCATGTTTGGTTGGTTGCCACTCCTCCATGGGGGTCAAACTGTTGCTAACAGTACCAACTATTTTCGCTTCTGGGGGCTTTTTGACTTGGTGATTCTGGGGGCATTTGAGGTTGGTTGCCACCCCTTCATGGGGGTCAAACTATTGTCAACAGTACCAATATATCACTCGCATGGCTCGATCTCAGGCTCATTATGAAGGTAATTGATCCATATATATTGAGCAGCAATAGAAATACTTGATCTTGCAAAGTCTTGGTATAAGTGAGTCCAAGTCCACCGCTTTTGCTTATGTAAGCTGTGTCACCCCTGTCATGCTGCCTCACTCAATGATTGATTTTTTCAGCCTTCATGTGACTTGTCTGGCTTCGTGTTGAACTTGATCTAGAGGTTATTGACCAATCTGAATGAGATGGCAATGCTGATTTGATCTGAAAAAATCAGGTTTGAGAGTCATGCTACCCCCTCCCCCCACCTACTTCACCAAGAGGCATGACTTTATGTCAATAATGATGTGAAAAGGATGTTCCCAGTGTTTAAGGATCATATTAATAGATTGGAGATGGTTTCATAGTGTTCTGAACCAATATGGAATGTGATGTGCAAGTTTGCCTGATACCCCCCTCAAAGATCGATTTTTCTAGGCTTCCCATGTCTTGCCAGGACTCCACAAGTATGTTTCCTGGGGGTTCTTGATGCCTCTGAACACGATGGTAAAGCTATTTGTGTCAGGAAAAATCAAGCTGTTGAGATATGCAGGGTCCCCCTCCTCCCCTCAAACTCATATATCTTGATATTATGTAAATACCGGTATATAGAAGGATGTTCCTACTGTTTTATGATCATATAAATCGATTGAAGATGGTTCAAGAGTGTTTTGAATCCATCCTGAGACAAATATGGAAGTTTTCCTGGTACCCCCCCCAAAGATCGATTTTTACAGGCTTCCCATGTCTTGCCAGGACTACAAAAGTATTTTTCCTGAGAGTTCTTGATGCCTCTGAACACGATGGTAAAGCTAGTTTTGTCAGGAAAAATCAGGTTGTTGAGATATGCAGGGTCCCCCTCCCCCCCCAAACTCATATATCTTGATATTATGTAAATACCGGTATATAAAGAGATGTTCCTACTGTTTTATTATCATATAAATCGATTGGAAATGGTCCCAGAGTGATTTGAGTCCATCCTAATTAACATATGGGAGTTTTCCTGATACCCCCCTCAAAGGTCGATTTTTCTAGGCTTCCCATGACTTGCTTGTCCTCTAAAAGTATTTTTCCGGAGTGCTCCTGATGTCCCTAAACACGATGGTCAAGCCCGTTTTGTCAGGAAAAATCAGGTTGTTGAGATATAGAAGGTCCTCCTCCCCCCTCCTACCTCATATATCTTACTATGGTCACTTTTAGCTCAAAACCGATACTGTAAATAATGGTCCTGGTGCTTTTAAGACGTAGAAATCGATTGGTGATAGGTCCCAGGGTCTCTGGAGGTCGAGAATATTGAGTTTGGTCACAGGTATGAAAAAGTCAGTATTTGGACTTTATCTCCACATCCCAACCGCCGTTTTCTTTCATTCCGGGCTCATATTGATCCTTGGGAATCCCTCTAACATATGTACCAGCCCAAGAAGAGAAAAAAGTTTTGAACTTTGTAACCTATTTCTGTTTTGACCATATAAATTTCCAAAGGCTAGAAACAAAGTCAGGTCGAATATGCTAAATCCCAGTGGGCTTCATAGGAAAAGTGTAGGGAAAAACAGAGGGTTGGTCTGGTGAAAAATAGGGGATGCATCAACACACATCCAAAAAAGCTTCTCCCCATTATTTTAAATGTTTCTCAAGATGATGGACCAAGTTTAGAAGGACCAGGAATTTTTTGTGAGGTGGTAAGCTTGGTACACCTGGAGATCAGGGGGTGGTCTGGCACTGGAGGTCCCATGCTGTAGCAAATAGCAAAACATGTTTCTCCCTATTATTTTAAAGTTTGCTGAAGATAATGGACCAAGTATTGAAAGACCAGGAATTTTTTGTAAGGTGGTGAGCTTGGTTCACCTGAGGGTCAGGGGTGGTCTGACACCAGAGGTCCTATGCTGTAGCAAATAGCAAAACAAGTTTCTTCCCACCATGTTAAAGGGCATGGAAGATAATGGACCAAGTTTTGAGACACCAGGAATTTTTTATGAGATGGTAAGCTTGTGTCACCTGGGGTCGGAGGTGGTCTGACACCAGAGGTCACAAACATCAGTAAATAACCAAACAACTTTCTCCACACCATTTTGAAGGCCACAGAAGATGATGGATAAAGTTTTGAAAGATCAGGAATTTTTTGTGAGACAGTGGGCTTGATGCATCTGGAGGTCAGGGGGTGGTCTGGCCCTGGAGGTCCTACACTGAAGAAAACATGAAAGCAAGTTTCTCTCCACTATTTTAAAGGCCAGTAAAAATGATGGACCAAGTTTCAAAAGGATAGGAATTTTTTGTGAGGTGGTGGGCTTGATGCATCTGAAGGTTTGGAGTAGTCGGACACCAGAGGTCACAAACATCAGCAAACACCCAAACAAGTTTCTCCCCACCCTTTTAAAGGCCACAGAAGATGATGGACCAAGTCTTGAGACACCAGGAATTTTTTATGAGGTGGTGGGCTTGGTGTATCTGGAGGTCAGAAGGTGGTCTGATATCCAAGGTCACAAACATCAGCAAACACCCAAACAAGTTTCTCCCCACCCTTTTAAAGGCCACAGAAGATGATGGACCAAGTCTTGAGACACCAGGAATTTTTTATGAGGTGGTGGGCTTGGTGCACCTGGTGGTCAGGGGTGGTTGGACACCAGAGGTCATAAACATCAGCAAATACTCAAACAACTCTCTCCCCACCATTTTAAAGGTCACAGAAGATGATAGGATTAGTTTTGGATTGCCAATAATTTTTTGTGATGCTGTATGTCTTCTCCTCCCCCTACATCCACCCATGTTGGTCAAAGATATTGCAAAATTGGTTCAAGATCATGTAGTTACATGACTATGATACATATAGAGCCATCCTAATAAGATTCTAGCCTGTCCCAATAGGGTTATGGGATCCTAATATAGATATTTGGTAGCAAGACATGGTCGGCAGTAAAATGATCATAACTCATGTTCACAACCACCAATTTCCTTAAAAGTTGGTGCAATAGCATCCCAGTGATGTGATCCATGATCTGAGATAGTCAGAATGGCCAATAAATGTACAATGTTATATATAATATATAGCCATAGGGTGTATAATGTCTGTGCGTTAAATAATATCTGGTTTCTCCCCACGCAAGGAGTTTTTCGCTCTGGATCAGTGCGGAGAATCATGAAATACAATGTGTATTTAATTGATTTTTGACCTACATTGGCATGTTACAAAGTGATCTCAGTATCATATAATTTGTGTCTCAATCAATCTTTATCCATCTATTGCATGGAACATAGATGTGTATCGCTCAAAGGAAAGAAGCCGCTGTAGTGAAAAAACATCGCGTTTGCTTAAACATATTTACACATAACGCACTGTCTTATAATGAATTTCCGCGATCTGAAGAGAGTGGACACAATTGTATATATGTAAGCGAACATTCATGGACTACACAGTTATGAAATGTCGATATCGCCACTTCTTAATATATAGTCATACCTGTGAGAGTTATCGCAGAGAAATAGATTTATATCACCACGACATGCTTTGAGACGCGATTCAACTCTCATATATCACCTATTTTTTGGGATGAATATACATATTCACAATACACTGATCACATTGTTAAACCCGACATCTATGAATCTACTGATATACAGTAGAAAATGAGATGATCTATAAGTCTAACTTAAGTTTGAACTGCGTAAGGAGTGCTACCCTATCAATAACTTGACCTGGATCAAACTGATCACCTTTATATAAGATATCTCCTGGACGCTTTCTGTTAGAAACGCCAAGAAACTTAAAAGCAATATCTGCAATATCTGCGCAAGGTTTTGCGGTCTCGGTCTCTTCCACGCACTCATTACTACCGCCCTGAGCGCGATAATGTAGTCGTTTGGTAGCCATGACGCAAAGGCTTAGTAATGATCTCTTGTGCAACACTATTTATTTCATAAGTAGAGTCGTAATCGATGTTAAATATGAATACAGACCTTTCCTTCCGGAGAGATATGGAAGTGCGATTACCATTCGACGCAGCGTCTCCAATGCATGCTCCATGTCTTGATTAGTGGACGTCCTGGCGACCTCCGCGTCGACGTAGCGTGACAGTTCTGTAAGGTGCATACAGGAATAGTTGTAGAAATGTCCTCCAGTGCAAAAGGATGGCACCGGTGTATACACCGCGTGCACAATACCAGGAGGCAGGATCCTTTGAAAGATGAATGTGAGCGAGGAACGAAACATATGTCGTAGAACTGACAGCATATCACCGGGATGTAACGCAATAACCTCGCCATCACAGTGATTTAGAATCCATTCCTTGTGCGTATTATAATCTGCAAGACGAACGGAGAGATGTTGAAGTTGGATGCGATCGCTACTACCTCCTTTCAAATGGAAGATCGCCCAAAACTTGATGCCACTCTCTATCCTAATCCAAGTCAAGGTGCCTTCCGCATCATGGTGAGGATAGGATAAAAACCCCGCGTGGCTCAGCAGTCCCCATCCTTTCGACGTAAAATTTTGGGGATGAATCTTAGACTTTATCTCAACACAGTGTGTCGTTTCATTCCAACCGTGAAGAAGGCCGTGATCGAGGTTACTTCAGAATATGTATTAGGGAGATATAACAACGAAAGTCATATCATTACTTGCCTGAGATATTTGGGCAACGCAGTCTGGGCCAGCGGTATATCAAGAATGCTTTGGATCTTGGTGGGATCGTTTATTGATTCGATAAAGGACTTGATGTTACCGAAAACAATAGGATCGGCGTGATCATTGTATCGTGCCTCTGTATCTACGATCTTTATGAACAAATATGAAAATTAGAACAAAATATGTGTATACCGTGAATAGAAACAGGTCTTAAGGGCGAAATCGAAAAATGTTCGTCGAGATAATCGGTTGTAATGTCATCTTGAGGTTTGTCGTACGGTACTCCTGTAACTTTGACGCATCGGTTTGTCGACAGTGCATCGGAAACGATTGCCATGACGTCAAGATTCTGAAGCGTGTCGCCTGACAGATGTAGGACATTGTTCGAAGTAGATTCACATGTATTTAATTGAGCCATGTATCTGATGAGCGGGATGTCAACGTGGTCGCATAAATTAAGCATGAATTCATTATGAACGGCTGGAAGAACTGTTTTATGTCCATTTTTCCAAGTAATGCATGGGCTCGATCGAGGGACGTTTGTTCCGATGACGCCGATGGTGAGATCAAGTTCTGACTTGAATGGCATTGCGGTCGTTCAATGAACAGGAAATATTCTCAACGGCATTGAAAAATCTATGTCCCCATGCACAATACAGTTGAGGGCAGGCTCTGTGTGATACTCCACCAATAGCTCCGATTGAACATCGGACAATGGGACAATTTTTTCACGTGTGATTGTATTACCCGAAAGGCAAAAGCATAATTAGGAACGTAAATTGGAAGCATTAACAAATGAATATAAATCAGCATATTAACAAGTGTATCTACTGTATTGAACACGGCTAAGCTCTTATTCGCTCGATCTAAACGGATGTACAATATCTGAAACATCATGTAACGGTTTTGGCAACATTTGACCTCGTATGCAACTCCAATATAGTCTATTATGATCAAATAGCTCAACCACGTGCAGGCTAACGTAATTGCCCCTGCGCTTTTATTCTCATGACTTTTTACTCCAGGTATGTTTCAACATTCACAGCGGTTGAGGCTATTTATTTCTCATTTAACACTTATTGAACTGGGTTGTTGGTCCACCTGTCGCACCAAGGCCACGTTCTCACAAAAGATCTGGATGTTCGAGACAAGAACCTTCCTATGTGTGATACAATAGTGCCCAAATCTCCAGAACAGAAGCAACAGGGAGATATAGCACCCTTCTTATGATTTGTGAGTGCTGTATTCTACATATCTACGGGAATGTTAACTAGTGTTACTACCTACTAGAATCTTCCCCGAACGAGTCATCCCCATAGCTCGCACGATCATTTGCATACACAATCAACTCTCAATCTTCCATCACACTCAGACTGGGCCTCTGTCAACCGGCCGTCCCATGCTGAACAACGTCGTCGGGCACACGAACGTGCCGAATGAGAAAAGCGGCACAACTAACCTGCACAGGCCCGTCCCGACGCCCAGGAACAGCAAATACCTATTGATATACATCTCCATGCTGATAATCATATGATAGCACCTGGAGATGCTAGAATACATGCATAGCTAGTTGAAGCTAAACTCCATCAGCCTGTACCATTGGTCGTGGACCAACACGTGAAAACCTCCTGCCGTGCCTGGTCTTGCACGACAACCTTACACTGAGCCGCGGTGTTACCACGACCGTTACAGCATGAATATTGTATGCTCACACTGCAAGGCTCATGACTGGATGAACGAGTGTCTGACTTCTTTATTAAAGGCAAATCCGGAGTTCTGAACTTGCTGTGACAAGGGTCATGCTCACCTTCCTATATTGTAAGATGAACCACAACACCTCCAGCACCTTGTCGAAATTGTGACTACTCAAGCTGTCGATTTCCCGTCAACATGTCGTCATTACAATGTCGCACTCACATTCACATCTTTTGGGCTCAATAATGATTATGAAATCAACAGTGTGAGGGGGTCTTATGTCTGTCATATTCGCGGAGGGTTGTGTCATCTTATTGGTCATTTGATACCACCTGAAGGTCAACGTGGGGTATATGCACGATTGTATGTTTATGACCCACATGTAGCGCTTGATGAGCGAATGCAGCGACATTAAAATCTCAATCCACGGACTATGGAACAGCTTCAGATTCTCCTACTCAATACACATCGGTATGCCACTGTAATTCGGCATGCTGATAGCATTGTTGTGCAGCATACACAAAAATCACCTCTGGCCATTCACCTGTTCCCAGATGAAAATGGTTGTCACCGCCGATATACTCTTCCATCAGCCAGGGTACTCGTAACTGTTAATCTGGGCGATGTGACTGAAGAAAAATCATTGCGCGACATCATCCTGCACACACAAGAGGGACAATAAAATCACATGTCATCAAACGTGAGATTCTCAAAGTCGAAAATTGCAATGCCTCCAGCAGAGGCACCCACTCTGGGCCGAACTACAGAGTATCTATAATCAAGGTGATGCCCTGGCCTTGAACACGTCGGCCATTGTCGAAGACAACACCTGCAGTAATTGTAGCTGAACTGGCGCTTAAACTAGACATTGTGAGTGTAATCGGAAGTTTAAATGAAGGTTTTCGACATGCCACAGTGAGGATCAGATTGAGCATTTGATCCAGGTTTTATACTCATTCATGACTTAAATCGCAAACAATGATAGTGAGCTGAACCACTCCATTGGGTATTTATCATATGGCACAGCATTTCAATCCACGCCTTCCTCATAGACGACCTGGTCTGCGCTGACACAAATAATTGTATTGCCTGGTATCTGAGTGAGAATTGTATCATTGATTTTGTCCACATCATTGTTGCGTGTTGCGTGGATATTTCGGTGCTGAACATACTCAGATGGTTTGAAAAATCTACAAATTACTCTACATACCACCATAGACATTGCAAATAAGAGTGTCTATTTCGTGTCTGATCATTCTATCTGGAAATTCAACCATGCCATCCTGGATGCCTGGTTCTCATGGCCATCTTCAACGCGCATATTGCTCGTTTGACTGAGAACTTGTTTGTGCTGCCATAGAGGTGACCTTTGAATGGATGTTTCAACAATATATTCTCGTAAACCTGCAACATGCGCTAATGGGTGATTGAACTTGAAGAGAGCATTCTCCCGCAAATGTCATGACATATATTATCAACAGCCTCAGCTGCATTGCGAAGCATTTTGTAAATCCCATCCCAGATGATGAGCCTTGTGACGCGGATGAGACCTGAAAAAGCTCCATCTTTTTGAATATGTCAAAGCGAGTCTTCATTGAGGGTGTGGATCGAAATATTGAACATGACATGTGCAATACCACCTCCCATGTAGAGCAATGCAGCAATATATGATGAGGCAACATGGAGGACTATCGAGCCATCTGCACATACATGATGTCATACAGCCTTGTACACACATGTTTCCCCAGTACCTCCAAGTCCATTTAGGAAAAAGACTCTCCCTCGTTCATGTTCAACATAGTCCACGATGTGTAAATATGCCTCTCGCTGCTTATTTTTGATAATGTGGACTTGAGCAAGCTCCTCTAGATGTTCCGCATGTTTATTACATCAAGGGTGGTCAGCAAGAAGTTGGTTAGCCACTCATTCACTCATGCTTGATATGGGACTGGAAAGTTAAAATCACGTAACTAGTTTCCCGACTGTCCAGGACTGTCTTTGCAAATAGCACCTGGATTTGCCGGTACACGGATAAATAGAAGTCTCACAACAAGCTGGCATACTTCTGGTTTCGTCTGCATTGCTGGTGCGCCCTGTAGGCATTGTCTCTACTCTCCATTATTTTCTAACGTTACGCCGAGCAAAGCACGCATCGTGACTTAATGGGTTTGCAATGTTGAAAACACGTTGGACGCTTCGCGACAGTCAGAAATGAGTGCAGATAAAATAGTTCTCCTGCGGTTATCCTAACATAGTACATCCGGCACAAATGAACCCTTTCTTACCCAAATCCAAAGATTTTGTAGAAGCCTTCCATGTGAAGTATCGAGCAAACTCCTTATATGTACATTTGTGTGTATTTACTCCAAGGCGATCATCACGTTTTGCGTTGAAAAGTCCTGTGATCTCAGGCCAATATTAGGTGTATATCACAGTCGTGACAAAATTGATTGTCTTGAAGTAACGTGCGAGTGCTACGCTATTTTAGTATCATTGATGCATGTATCTTGGGCCATTACTTGACTAAGACAGCAGTATGACTCGTCGTAAAAGGTCATGAAATTTACAGCCATTATGACCTGCAGTAAGGACAGCATCCTCCAACACGGAGTCAAGGAATGCTTTGATCTGCGGCTGATGCATGCGGAGATGAACGACCCGACTGTCAGCGGTGTCATATAAAGGGTCAGTTATTCGTATCTGGTGATGAGCAGTGCTTTCATGCCATATGTTTTCAAATCGCAAAAATGAACATGGCGCACACATTGCATTTGAAGATTGTTCCGAGATGAGATGGATCATGATTTGGTTCGTGACATCTATCAGGTGGGTTGTTTGAATGTCATTTATGAAATTCACTCGCAAGTTGTCAGTTCATACCGGTGCCTATGTCATTTGACGATTTCTTCCAGCCAACATTCAATGCTTATGTCCAGATATATGGTACTGTTGACACTCTTGATGACTTCGCCAGTGCATTGTGTATAAACGCTCACCAATATTTTGCTCTTATCACAATATCTGACCAGAACCAGTCCCAAAGGTTTTAATCGCTTATGCCTGTAGACTGTGCGATTCCAAATACTGCTAGATGGAAAAAATTGACGTCCAGAAAGAAGTTCACTGTGCAGCCGCAAAGATATGTCAATGTAAGTGGATATTTCATTAACTGACTCACTACAATGGTTGGCGACACCAACATGACTGAAAAGTTTCCAGTGCAGGCGCACAACATTAGATCCCTTGTTGGTGCTACAGTGGAATCCAGCACGACTTCCGTGGTATATAACATCCTACTGTTATCGCACTGAAGTTGTTAGATGCATGCTCCATATTTAAAGGTGTATCTGGCGCGAACACACATCCAGCTCAGTCAAAGCTCTTGGAGTAGGAAAAACGTCATTCAGAGAAACCATCCAAGCGTCCTCGAACGTGCTGACTCATGTTGCTTGCAGAAAATAATCTTTACACTGTATTATATTGCACTGATGTGTTCTTGATATTATTGCGTTTCCATACATGTCAACATTCGAGTCAGTAGGAGTGGTGAAGCCTGGATAGCTGCTAATACATTAATATAGATAAGCGCTGTAATCGTGTAGCTCGCTATTGTCGTATATTCAGGTGTATCAAAAGGTGATATATTTACGAACTTTGTAGTTGCCTAAATGTGTTTGCAATTCTCCACTCAGTAGTATGATTGACAGTAATATACCACAATTGACGCCGTGCGCAACTAGATCGCACAATTAAGATTTGTTAAAAAAATTTTACGTATACTTGAACAAAAGGATATTAAGCTGTTTGTACATTTGGTGTCAAGATCGCTCTTGATGGAAAGATATTCCATAGAAATACAATCTTCTTCACAAACCTTCTTGTCACAGCGACAAAATACCTATGTCTAATCGTACAGATTAAGACTTACTGACGGTGAATGTCTGACCTGTAGAATTCACAACTATGTGATCTTTCATACCTACTTCATAGCATGCAAGAGGCATGCATAAGTGTTACACGGATGGGCACATAGATTAACGTGCTGATTGTGGCAGGTCTTTTTTTGAATTACTCGCGTTTGCTCGAATATCGGTTCTACATAAAACATCATGATCAAAGAGTGATGACATGGGCATAAAAGCTATTCAACAGTGTTTGCAATGGTGTACTAAATGAAACCACACTAAATCGACGTGATGTGGTCAACGAGTTCATGTACAGGCAGAAATCGTGATGTATTGTGAGTATGAATGTATCAGAGGAGTGCATCATGTACGCGACACGGTGTCCAACTAAAGAACACTTATACAAGGACTATAAATCACATCATGATTACGGTGGTATCATCATGTTGAACCACTTCTATCTAACTCATTAAATGTTGTTGCGCATAGAGTGAAATAACTTACTTCATAGTGATCTGGAGGTGTAGCATTAGATCTGGTGATGTCTTCATTTGGTCGTGCAGTTGCTGCATCAACGAGAGAGGCTTCAGGTGTCGTGCTTCCATCTTGAGTCGTGTCCTCAGTCGTTACAAGACATTCGATTACTGGAAGGGAGGGAGTGGTATGCCTGGAACAAGGTAGTGCAGATGGTTGCGTGTCAGGAACAAGGATAACCGGGCTGGGAGGAAGAACATTGATACGGGTGATACGCGGCGATGAAGGGCTGTTCATTATCTGCTCATGAACATCCTGTGGATCGACATCATGTGGGATGCTATTCTCATGTGCGAGCGCGGATGACGTCTGGTGTTCTGCAGCTGAATCATGACTGGCGTCGGCCATTACTTCGTCCCATGCATCTAGAAGAACCGATGTATCATGTATTGGACTATCTGAGTTGTGACTCAAAGGCAATGTAGGGACCAAAGGAGACGAGAGCAATCCTGATTCTTGAATGTCTGTAAGAGACGGGATAGGCGAAACGGATCGGACAGTATGTGGCCAACCATCCTTGCGACGCTTAGGTGGACCTCGGCCACCATCATTCTAATATATATTTTAATATAAGAATGAAGGGATGCGAACAAATGACTGACCTTTGGTGGCGACGCTTGAGATAAAGTTCTCTTTCTCTTCGGAAACAATGAGTCACCGTGGGCCGTTCCACGTGTGATGGATGCTGAGCCTTCATCGATCACCATAGAGTCTAGCGCCTGCCGGACTTCAACATCATCTCCGTCCAATGATCCGTCTGCGTCTTCATCTGTCATATCGTTTAATGCTGCTGAGACAGGCATGCCGGCAGTATGCTTCAAGTTTAACCATGGAATGTCCAAGTCCGACATCATGCTGATATACATTCAGCGTCGATATCTACGATATATGAGCACTTACCGTGCTTCGACTGTGGGTGGGGAGTTGCATGGGTTTATGCGTGGGTTACTCGCACTGACATCAGAGTTTGCCAGGACCTTTCCGAGAGCGTGAAAGATATGGGACATGTACCGAGGACTTGTCTCCATGTGGACAATTGCAGAGTACATGCGCTCCAACCCGAGAGCCTCGAAGAAATGATCATCTTCGACATCGTCCATCAACCTTGGATTATGTGGAATGACGACTCCAGCGATCGCATCATCCATGTCTATATTAGTAAGCTGACGGAACCGAATCAGCATCCACGTCGCCAGCCTCAAGAATATGTGAGAGTTTCCGTCATCAAACAGGATTTTCGTCCAACTTTTCCACCCATCCTGCACGCTTGGAAATAAGACATCGTCAAATTGATGCATTTCCTCAGCTGATTGTTTCGAATCCACTTCAGCGTCCTCCTAGTGGAATTGATGGGTCAGTGTCTCATCGTCTTGTAGTGCATTATATTCCACCACTCACAACTACTTCAGGTTCCACAGAAGGATAGACCGCTAATGCCTCGTCAAACTCATCCTCCGACTCTACCACAAGCGGAGCAGCCACTTTCTGCTTCCCCAACGCCTTGCTGGACCTTGTCTTGCGCGTTTGCTTTTTCTGCTTCTGGCTCTTCTTTGAATCCGCAATACTTTCAAAGTTTGATGCGATTTTATCAGTAGGGCTCTGATATAGTGAGTCAATCGCTGAATTCTATTTAAAGTGGATTACGAACCTCGTCGTCGTTATCGAGTACATGCAACTTCATATTTTTACCTCCTTTAACAGCCACGGATGTCTGTTGACGTCCGCCTTGTTTAACCTTCTTCGAGGAAGACGTAGAAGGTTTCTTGTGTGACGAAGCACGGTCACCAGCGTCTGCATCAATGTGGGACGATGCCTGCTTGCTCGAAATCGAAATCGACCTTGTCTTCAACGATGAAGCACTGAGGCTGTCCTGTGCGTCAATCTGAGATGAGACTTTCTTGCTCGCCATCGACTTCGACCTTGTCATCCGTGATGAAGAACTACCCTCTGTGAGTGCATCGTCGATTACGATCTGAGACGATGTCTCCGAATTTGTCGACCGTTTCTTGGTATTGATTTGTTTTTCTTCTGAGTCGATTGAACCCGCGACGTGTTCACCTTCATTGTTGATCGGCGGTACGGATCTATCACCGGCGAGATTCTTCAGCATGACAGACATGGAATCATTGTCGGACAGAGTGTGTTGGAAGGACCCCCCACACATATCGTCACCGGAAGAACAGAACAAATCATGCATTCGTTTAGCTGTCACTGTGGTTATATTCAGTTCATCTTCGGACAATGTAAATGAGGCAAGAATGAGAGAATTACGTTGCTGAACATCTTTAAACGCTTTCTTCTCCCAAAAGTGAGTCCAAGTTCGCTTCATTGCTTTCAGAGCTGTCGCCTGAGTGTCTTCTGTGAATGAGCTGTCATGCAACGCTAGTGCAAAGTGATAATCTAGATACGCTGAACGCCACTTGGAGTTCGAGCTGGACGCATCATCCTTCGCTTCACTATGAAAGGCCCAGATAACATCTTTGAAATAGGATACCAAAGATACGTAGAATTGGAGAGTTTGGTCCACTCTATCAGCCTTCGGAAGTTTCATTAGCTCTCTTGCGGTACGTTGATACACACGAAATTGCTGGATGACAACACGAATTTGATCTACGCATTTAGGGGACACCTTCACCTTAAAATAGTGGTCCATAATGGAATCAAAACCATGAATAGCAGTAAAAAACTTACCCTTATAGTCGCATCGCTCAGTTTCAACATGCACCTGTTATCCTCGACTTCCAGTGACACTTTGGCCGCCATAAGGTTGCTGATCTTCGTCTGATGCACATTCTTTATGTGCAAGGCAATCGGAGTTGGCGTTTTCGATGACATCTAGAAGTTATTCTTCCTGATAATGTGCTGAAGTCGTAGCTATTATTGCATTGTAGTACGTGTGCAGTAGTTAGGCGCTGAGTGGCGCAGTGGCGCAGTGGCGGCTCGCTTATCCGGATATGGTAATATATTCCTACGTGTTGAAAGAAACACAACCGTGTGAAACTAAAATATTTGACATTTCCAACTGACCAATATCAAGCTGTATTCATGGCGTTTCTGACACTCGACCATTTTCCTCCAGCTAAAACAACGTTTCTACACCCCGACCATTTCATTCAACCTAAACCATTAGCAACTGATGCCCCAACTGCTCCTGCACCTCGTGCACAACAACAATCGGTGCAGACTAATCGACGACGAACAGAACTGGCACCTGCACCTGTGGTAGGCACCAGAAAACAGCCTGCGAAGAGAAAACGTAAGAAGGCGGATTCAAATTCACTCAATGCATCCTATATTAGACTTGTCCCTATTATGGATGAAGATGATCCGGACGCGATGGACACAGAGGATGTCGATGAGCCCAAGGCTCGCAAGGTTCAAGCAGGTGACGGCATGAAAGATCCGATGATCGTATGTTTCTAAAATCTTTGAATCCCAACGTCATTAACATTCTCCGAGTGCTGTATTTATTGCCACGATGTTGGATCTTACATATGGACATGTCAGGCTGAAGGTTGCGGGAACCCTGTGTGTGTCGGTTTGAGTGAATGTGATCACGGATGCGTGAATATATGCTCAGATCCAGAGACCGGTGAAATGAGTGTGACTGAAAAGACATTCATGTGTCCTCGATGCCATCGGGATAAAGGTCTGGCAATGACTGTAAGTCAATCCGTTGCATAGAAGGTCGCATGTCTTCAAATAATTCTTTACAGCAGTATAATGTTCAAGGATACTCTGTTCGCCAAGACTTTCTCTATCGCAACTACTTCCCCCTGCTCGCTATCTTCTTGTCTTGGAGTGGTTTTGGAAGCCCGTTTGCTTCAAACGTAATCAGATTAACGCTGGAAGAGCATTATCGTCGGGACAAAAGCAGGGTGCGTGTATTCATTCTTAATGTATAACTCTCTTCCACTAATTGTTTATGGAAAAGTTAAACATAATGACGCGAGCCCTCAGAGCCGGTAATAATCGTCCCCAAGCTATGGTCCCTTCGTTCAATTGGATGCGTGAGTTCGCCTATGAGGGAAATATGTTGATATTCGTCAACACACATTCTGACACGAAGACGGGACATCTCGTTGTATCTGGAAACGAGAACAATCCAAATGCAATTCCCATTCATGAGGTGAGATTTCAGCAATCTCGCGAGATTTACCCGAGAATATGAACGATTTTAAACGTAGCTTCTATCAAACTACATTGGGGATAATAATTTGAGAGCAGCAACGCATGCGATCTCCGCAATCAACAAGAAAGCAGGAGTTGGTCCATGCATTCGCGGTCTCATTATATGCGCATGCGGATCTACGGGACGACTGGATGACAGTGCGATCTTGTTAACACGTTTTGTCAAAGAGTGCGTGTCATTTCAACTATATCTTACATTATGATTGTCTCATACGAGCAATCAGTGATATCTTCGATTTTGTTCTGACATTTTCGGGTGTATCTACAATGGATCCAGTGGTCGTTCCAGCGTTGAATCGCTTCGTTGAAAATGTCTATGTATACGACTTGCAGATCTGGGATGCGCTGGAGGAATCATTTGGTGAAGACAGACACGCCCTCAACCAATCACCCGTATTTCTGTCATTCGCCGAGATGAAGACCAACGGAGACAAAGTGCGACAACGTATCGTCCACACCAGGGTCCTAGCATACTCCAATCTCAAAGACGGGCGGCCTTGGGGCCTGGACATATACCGGTGCTTGAATGCCGGGTGCAATGCACCTGCATACAACATGATATTTCATCCTCACGGAAAGCAATATTATGGCAAGCAGTGGTTGCAGACGAAAATTAAATATGAATGTCTGCAATGCGGCATTGTTCATAAAGCAATTCAATGTCCACCTTGGATACACGCAGGGCGGTCTCAAAACTTTGGACGTGTGTGGTATGAGTGGCCACTCAGCGCAGAGCAGAAACGAGATATCGGAATCATATGCTGACCATGGTACTTTTCATTTCGTTGTGTATATCACGCTATGTGCCGGTGACAGCTTTTTGACATTGACTTTCTGCGTGTGAAGGTATCATGCTTCATGGACTCACTTGGATACATCTCATGCAAAGTCGGTATCCCTCCCCACTCGATATTGTGTTTACGATTTATATCACCATCGCATGCATCATGTTCCGTTCAGTCACGTACATGACATATAGATAGATCATATATACGAGAATGATGTACACAATACATGCACATGTGGTGCAAGAAAATGTGCAAAGAATGTGCAAAGACATTATTCCGTATAATAGCCAGTAATACCGCATTAATTTGGTGCAATATCATAGCGCCATGTTCCCTGACTCCACTTGAGTGGAAGAGGGTTCTGTCAGACGCAAATAATCAATCCTCTGCAAACGCACCCGTGGGAGAATTCGAGTTAGCTTAGTCATTGGGAAAAAATTGTTAGCACTAGTGGACATTCTTTCGTTCCATTCCTACGGTAGTCGTTGACTGAGTACGAACAGGCATCATAATGTAAGTTTATTTTCGTCTCAACTTGCTGTTTTGTATCGCTCAAGGATGTTTAGGGTTTTTCTTCGAAAGTCGCCCTGCCGTCTGGCTCGCGTTCTCGATGAAGGACACTGTCCTTTCTTCAATGAGCCCCATGATGTCAAGGACTATCCTCCTGATTATGATGCCCTCTATTATCCACAATATCATCTTCCGTTTTTTGAAACATCCGACATTTGTTGCACTTGGTTGAACACTTCGCTTAAAAGTCATCCTTCGTGTTGCTCAAAATGCCGCTCGTGGAACTTTGGTGGTTGTGTTTCTTACGATGGTGTTTGTATCACCGTATGTTAGTCGCAAGTATCGTTGTCCATTTTGCCGAGTGAATTTGCTGATGCAGGATACTGTCATTGGGTTGTCTTGCGCAAGCTTTCCTCTCGTGGAGCTGTCTCTGTTGAGAAGTGCATGCCTTCGAGACAAGATGTCTATCCGAGATGGTTCTACTACAGCGATGAATATCAAGAGCAGACGCCATTCAGCCTGTTGGATAATGTCCTGATTGAGTGCGTTTCTGATTTATCCATTTTGCGAGGAAAATCGAAGAAGGATCGTGTGCGTGCTATACTATCTCACTTTGTTGCTACTCAACGACGAGTTATGCAATCGAGTAAAGATCAACTACGAGATTGACTTTCCACCACCGCAATCATTGCAGAAGGTAACTAACTACCCGTGCCTCGTCTGGGGAGATAATTTGGTGATTTTTATGGTAAAAAGGTTTTTGTCGCTCTGTGTCGACCGCCACTACAACAAGCGTGTGTTTTCGATCCAATTGATGTCCCAACAATCGATTGGTCTGTTCTTCCACTTGCGTAATTGGTTCAGAGGCTTCATAAGCTGACCATCGAAGTGCTTTCAGATTGTATACCTGGCCTACCTTCGAAGGGGCGTCCATAAATAAACAGTCGCTCATGTCAGAAGACTTGCAACGGTCTTGCCATTCACATTCGAGATCGAGTGAATTAATTGCAGTACGTTGGTCCTAGTAAGTTGTGTGATATCTTGCTCTGTTACCTGCCTCTGTCTCAACCTTGCAACCAGTCCGACGAGCAATAAATTGGACCATAAAACCGCGTAGGGATAACCCTCGCGATGTCAACGGGTCTCGTATATACCAGCTCATGTTGCAACACATGCAGCTTCTGCCTTGCGCTAAGTACACACAGCCCGTGTTCGTGGAGACGCTCAAGGCTGGAAAGGGGAACATAAAGGCTTTGGACAAGGCAGCTGGCCAATCGCCCACTAAAAAGTCTTCCTTTACCGCCGCTGCAGTCGAAGAGGATAAGCTCGAGTATACTATGATCGAGTAGCTTTGAGTGATTTTTTTTCTTGATATTGTATTGGCATTGACTCGAAACCATGTCCCATTTTATACTACGTTTTATCCGCGAATAATATCTTGATCTCTTTATGCGGAGTCAGGGTTCTGGCGCGACCTAGCGCCGCTATGGGATATGATGTTTCAGCACAGGAACACTTAAATTCTGTCAACAGTTACGCCTGTGCTGTACTTTGCGATCCTTAATTTTCGTCTAATATAATTGTTGCACGCAATATAAAGCTTAGGGACAAACTGATAAGTATTCGAAGTGAATAATGGCTGTTAGTGTTAACCGAATAACATGACAAATCATGCTGACTCCGATACGAGGCACCAAAATGCAACAATGGAGAGACACAAATGGATCATATTGGTTTTTCCCCATATGTACTCTGTCTCACGATATTGCAAGAAACGTGTATATATATATATCATTTTCGTATTCGGACAATGTGGAGTCCGGAAGTAATATGCACAAATTGTGACGGTTTATATTGGCACGAAAGTATAGCGTAACTCAACGGATCATAATTTGCGGTGGTGCACGAGGTGGGATATAAATAATGGTGTGATGTGTGTTTCTACATATATTGCCTCATATTTGGGTGTAAGGACGGCGCACAATCACAGTCGTCTTCTAAACGATCCTAAATGAGAGTCCCACTTGAAATTTTCATGAACATCTTCGAAATCGCAACTCGTACAAGACATGGTGCGGCTGCTGGAATATTATATCAACGGAGAACCAAAAGCTGGTAAGTGTGTTCAAACAAAATAAGACCGAATGTCATGATCTCATGCATGATCTTCATTGAACGTATGACGTGACCTCAGGTTTGAGAAGACTTTGTACGAGAAAGTGCTATTACCGGATGATGAAATGGCGCAGGAGTTCCTGGAATGTTTGCGACGCAGGAAAATGCCAGAAGAATTTGCGGAGACTTCCATAAAAGCCATTTGTCTGTCCGGTGACGTCGAGTTCAACACGGTTATGGAAATATTATCTCTCTGTAAAGGCATCAAAAATCTCGCTCTCATTCCCGACAGCGAGGATTTCCAAACCAATGTTTCAACTGTCCTACAAATTTTGGACGCCTTGCCGCTCAAGGTGTTGTCGCTACAAATTGGCGTGCATCTCACTGATACATTGATATCTCATGCCTCCTATTTGTCGACTATCACACATCTGGAAATCGACAGATATTCCATGACTCGTGACATTGATATTCAACGTTTCCTCAATCTGACTCACCTAGCGATCTGGAGTACGATAAACTCTCAAGAGGGAATGAAACCTTCGTTGCTCCAGCGGCTATTGAGCCATCCTGCACTCGAGGTCCTCGTTTTACGCGCTGAAGATCACAAGATTCTCGCAGAATTCCTCGAACGCCACATGATATATGATCCACGCATCGTCCTTGCAACATCAAGGGTGTATATATGGGATGATCTAGGGCGTGCCTGTATGACTTTTTGGGAGCTCGCGGATGAAAAGGCAAATCTTACCGAGCCTAATCACAGTGTGTCCATTCTGATAATTTAAACAACGATAAGAACTCACTACCGTGGATAGACAAGCATAGATGCTTCACTAGGACCACGCTCATTAACCGCATCAGCGATTTCATGGACATAGAACACGTTCCCGAAGATGACCTTGATCATGAATCATTTCAATGTAGGATCATCGGTAACGATGGTACAGTGACATGGGGCTACTACAGCAATACATCGGATGGAATGCCCATGATAGAGGACAGTGACTATGATACCGAAGAGAGCGAAGATTACGACAATACACATGAGGAGGAAGGTGAATATGCACCGGATGAGGATGGCATTGACGCTGACGCTGGTCACCATGACACTGACGAGGTAGACAGCGATGGTGGACATGACGAACAATGAGCCAAAGATCATTATCATTCTTACTTCCGTAATTCATACTCATCGTGTCGTGTGGCACACAAGAGGTATTCGTCACAAATACTGTCGAATTTGTCATTGTGTCTCACCCTCTTACCATCCCTTGTTATATATTATTATATAGCGTGTTTCATGTCTCAGGTATACATAAATCTTTAGTTGTTCGCCCCAAACACGGAACATGTTTCGTGTATTACCTTACAAAAGCAACATTCTTTTGATGCATTTTTGACATTGAAACTCAATATACAGAAAAATATCATAGTCCTTTGCATACACTTGTTTGTATAAATATTTTCAGTTGCGAGCCTGTACAACATGTGCAGGTATATATTTATAACGCGGTAAAATACCTTTCATTATTAGGATGTGCTGCATATTGATGTGATGTGATATACATCAATTGTGCTATAACTGTGGCAAGAGATTAGAATATGTGTTGTAGTATTGCGCTACGAACAGCAGAGAAACGCAGCAGACCTTGCTTATATTTTGGGATTTACTTAACGAGTTGTCTATACGATCCTCCGTATGTATCTTGATATTGGCCAAGAACACAACAAAAATCACATGACGAGTCGATGTCAACGAACACTTCACCAAGTAGATCTCACATATATACATTCCATTAATGATGCCAACCATGTATTTTACATTGAGGATCTTCACGAAACGCTGTCGTTTACTCTTGACTAATAAGGAGTAGACGATATAACTAATCAGCGAGGCAACTACTTGTTGCAACTTTGCAGTGCATGGGTGCAAATGGAAAAATTCGTTCTGGTATCATTGTAGCTGAAATTTTTGAATGCAGTGTCAAAAAGGAGCTATTTCTTAGATTCCCAAGCCACGACGTGGTAAGACATAAAGACATGCTGGTCACTACTTCATGTTCTGAGTGATATCTTGCATGCGCGTAATATAACACACTATTCTGGTCCACAATAGGGTCGCGTTTTGTCGCGTCAGCAGCATCATAGAATGACATTTGATGCAAGCACGACTTAAACACATTGATACATAAAATGGCAGCGGCCCAGAGTTTCAACTTTCAGTATAACAGTATCTTTCCCACCAAGTTCTCCATTATGATTTTCGCGAGTCCACTGTGCATTTAGTTGAAAGATGATGATTTTTAGTATAAATTCTTTCGTGCCTTCGTGGTCTGTAGAAGATCCTCATTCTCGGTCACAACATGGGAGATAGGCATGGAAAAAAAGTGAGTAGAAGACAAAAATTATATAATTAAACCATGCCAAAGCTCATGTTCAGGTGTTTACTATAGGCTTCTACGAAAGCTTGCGGCGGTCCTTCATTGTACACAGAAATCACTGCGATTAAAGAATACTAGTGTGGCGTGGGAATGTCACGTGATCACAATATATATATATGTTTGCTTTCGCAGATATGTCTCTTTCTTTCGTACCATTACATTCAACAGTGGCTTTCTCGCCTCCATGGGCGTTCGCTGTCGATGACGGCGACCACTCTTGTTTGTCTTTTGGACTTCGAAAATATTCTGTTTCTTGCATCCTCTCTGGTGGTTTTCTCGCCTCAATGGGCGATTACTGTCGATGACTGTGACCACTTTTGTTGATTCGCTCAGCTTCCATTATCTGCTTCCCCTTTCATCCTTCGTGTGGTTTCTGACCTCATTTTCGGTGTCCTGTCGATGGAAGGAAGCACTTGTCTCATCTCTGAAGGCTGCCGTTATCAGCTGGCTCTTGCATCATCGTTAGGTATGTTTTCGCCTCTGTGGGCGTTTATCTTTGAGGAAATTACTGACACTCTGTCATGGTATCACTAAGTGCGATATTGTAGGTGTCTCCTTTGTAGTGTAATCTTGTGACTTTGTGGTAGCGTATGTTGCGATTGAAAGATATTTAAATTAATATTACGAACTATTCGCCATTGTTCAGCGTGATTGTTGTGTACATGAGTCTTAACTGAGCAGGTCATAGACAAACTTTAGAGTGAATGATCACTGTCACGTCGGGGTATGTCTCACCTGAAACATGGACATAGAGACCGAGGAATCCGACTAATCAATAGATTGTGTCATTTTATCGCATGTGAAACGGTTCCTATTCCACATCTGGAGTTCCTTGCAATGCTTACTTATATATTTTTTCAACCTGCATTAATAGAAATCGCGAGACCGTACCATGCGAATAAAGAAAACGTATAATGATACGAACCAGTTGCGATACATCTAGAAACAACACTGAATTTCATAATAATCATTGACATAGAGACAATAATATATGCATCGATGGTGTTCAATGCTTGATGCGCGAATACAATCACAAGAATTGATTCAATATCCATTGCAAATTCATGGCTTTCTACACATATTTAATTAGACTGGAACAGTGCCCGTACGCTCAGTCATGACTGATGCTAGGATTCGAAGTCCTGGGGAATACGAATCTTCTTCATCACGCTTGTAAATATGTAACAAATATCGAAGCACTTCTGTCACATGTTTGACATTTTCCTTCGTCTATATGAGACAATGAAATTTTTAGCAAAGACGAAATGTGCATTTTGAAGCAAAGGATATTTACCCAAATATTGAGCAATGTGGAACGAACAGATTGCTCGTTCAATATAGCACGGGCAGAAAGTTCCTCAATGACACAATGGGCCTGTTCATATTGACATAAACAAAGAATGATCGCGTGAAAAATGAATGTATACCAATGGCGGAAGAACTTGATCTTTTGGGTCATCCTTGAATGCCTTCTGGCATTCAGTAGAAATATCCTTTAACCAGATGTCAATCGACATAAGTGACGCCGCCATTTTCCTCATCGCACGGGTCATGGATTCATTACGCAGTAGAGATGCAATGTGTCGAATGATGCATAACCAGGCATCATAATTACCATCTAGAGTAGATCTTAGGAACACCATTCCTTCAGGATCCATGAGGAACGACGAGATCTATTCAACCAGTGAATTAAAAGCTGTCATACATATATGATAAATGTACTGATTTATTTACATGGCGTGCACCTGCTTGGGCCTCACTAACAAGATCTTGAAGGGTGTACTGTGGTGCTTTTACCGTCTTGGAAGATCGAGAGGTATTCCTTGCAGCTACGGGCCTCTTAGTAGAAAATACGACAGGCCGTCCTGGTTTTGTGGATCCATGTCGCTCAACAGCTTTGACAGGTACCTTTGGTAAGACATCTTGCATATCTTGGCGTAGCCTGGACTTTAATGTGTGTGATGTCTCGAGTGTGTCGTTAATTTGAGATGCATGATGTTCAGAGCTGGACGCATCAGAGACATCTGGATTACACGTGAATGATGCTTCGATGCGAATTGATGTACTCTGAGATACATCGCAAGAATTATCATCATCTGCGCCAAATGATGGTATATATTCATCGTAATCCTGAATCATGCAAGTGCTTGTTAGGATATGATGAGACAGAAATTAGATGCATACATGACATTCTTCCTGTAAGTATTCTTCGGGCTTAAGTGAATTTGACTTAAAAACGGGCTCATCCACTCCATCGTTATCTTCAGTTACAATATCAGTCTGTATTTCGCGATCCAACATGGTGCGGCTGGGAGGTAACTGGACTTTGCATTCTACAATGGAGTCACATTGTACCCCAATTGTGACTGTTGTAAAGGCACGAGTGTCAATTGCACTACTGCTCTGTGAGACTGTTGCATCAGTATGGCCATATGGCACATGGAGACAACATGGTTTCAAACTCACCAGTTCATCAATCGACTGAACGGTCTGACCATATTCCACCACACATTCCTTGCCAGTGCGAGATACATAGAGTGCGCGACCAGCAGCAGTAAAGAATCGTGACATTGCACCACGATCTGCTGATAATTCCTGGCATGTGGCCATCATCTCTGCCATACCAAATATCTCCAAGTATTCTTCCGAACTTTTTGCAGTAACGAGTAACCCATTAGCCACAAGATTGTCCAATGGATCGTTATGATCAAGTCCTTGTATTTCTCGAAATCTCATTGCGACATGGCTAGGTAACCATTTACCAAAGCCACCAACGATGATTTGACGTGCTCTACTACCGAGTGTGCTGACAGAAATTCTGCGACAATTCATATTGAATGGCAATGGGAATGTCGGAAATTGACTGGAATTCTAGAAATAATATATCATGTAACCATACACTGCTGAACGAGCAACATACCACATCTGTGTCGACAGATACAACTGTCATTTGTGCAACAGAAATAGATGATGCAGTGCTCTTTTCGTCCATGGATGATTTGACACAAGCATCGATTGTGTTGAGTAATATCTCCATATCTTCTCCTCCACCTGAGCCTTGTATTGCGCCACAAATATCATGGTCCTTGCATTTTTCCTTGTGATATCCAGTCCAATTTACTGTCTGGCAATGTGAGGACAGTGAAAAACATGAAACCACAGAGAACGCACGAAAAACCAGGATGTCTGAACAATCTCCTTTCTCTACACCCTCAATAGTTACCCCATGCTCTGTAGCCAAGGATTGGCGCCACCCATCATGAAATCCATCGCACGTATGGTCCAACCACAGGTAGTAGTCAAGAGTAGAAGATCTAAAGTCGCTATTTGTTGGACTTGAAGATGCAGCAGCATCATCCAAAAACGCAACGCGTACATCGGTGAGATATTTCATGACAGACGCATAGGTGTCTCGCAATGTGGCAGCATTGATGCTCTTTGATTTGTGTAGATGTTCGATGACTTTTCTGTATATTCCAATTTTCTTGTTGAGTGCATATAATGGAAGACGATAATGTGGAGCTATCAGGCATGACCTGCGAGAATTTCCAGTGACCTTCAGTGAACACTCTCCATCAATGTCTTGGATGGTCCCCTTAACTTTGAGCAACTGTTGCACGTCGCGCACGTTCCATTCAATAAGGTCGCAGGATGGATGCATGGGGGTGATCTAAACGAGCATGGTAAACTAACATACAATGATATATTAAATTATGCTGTGCTCGGAAGCGAGAATCCTCGAGGCACACATCAAATTATATTAATGCTATTGGATAGCTTATTCATGACACATGAAATTTGTAAAACAATTTCCATGCAAAAACCGATTTATCTCAATTGAGGGAAGGAATAAGACATGAGATGAATCACATGAGGCAAAAGTTTGTTTCAATTTAGGGACCAATGACGTGACCAGAGACGGATCAATTCAATACAAATGGAATTAATACTGGAATCTTAGATCACCGCTGTCTTACAATTCAGGCAGTAGTATCTAGGTATAGTCTCATCGCCAGTGGGCAGCATGGCTTGTGGTACGTTTTCCTTCCATTCATGAGGCAGTCGTCCAAGGGTTCTGGCCTCCTCCACAAGTTCCTGTCCCTTTCTTAATATCAGTGCATTTCCAACAATCCCACATGATCCCCCTCGTCGAATCGGCATGGTCAAAAGTGATAGAAACTGCGGGTCAAAGTCCACATGACTGTAAATGGACGGCAGGCCTGCCTTTACATTGCAACCCAGGGAATTTCCCAGAGTGGAAAGACATTTCTCGTTGATCCAGTGACAACATTTCCTGCAATATCGCTGGACAGTAGTTGGGGAGGAAAATGCGGGACCGCATCGATTGCATCCACATCTGGTGGCTGTCTGAGAGTTCTACATATTTAATAAGATGGAGAAAAAATACCAGAAAGAAAAGCTGCATACCCGTATGTTCACCCCTTCTATGTACAAAGTACGACCATGCCTTGAGAACTGTATATCTATGGTCCACCGAGTGTAAAGTGTACCAACTGATATCTGTGGTTGTGATATATCCCCTTCGTCGTACTGCAAGATATTGGCGTGATCTGCAAATGGTCCACCAATGTCAATGTCAATGAAATCATTTAACCGTGCAGGAATGTCAAAAGATTCACCCTCTACACAGGACATATCGACTACAGATTTATGACCACTGAGAACGAGCTCGTATTCACCCACACAAGCTGAAAGACTACAATCAAATACTCATTCATCAGAATCGTACGAGTACACATGTAAGAACTTACTCGATGTCCTCATCTTGCAAGTCTATCTGTCTGTAATACCACTGTATTTCGAGCCATACGTCCTATAATAAACATTTCAAATAAGTAAGGGCAGGCGAATGTGTGAATAGACAACACTTTCCTGCACCTGTGTACCAGACTTTAGATATATCTCGGCAACCTTACCATACCAGTATGACATCACTGGTAGGCTACCATCTTGTCGCTGAACCGCCCTTTTATCTAGTGGATAAATTGTGACACTTCAAAAAATATATCAGGATGACTGTGAAAATAGACAGGAATGTTCGTACTCCTCCCCTACTCGAATAACCATCCTACCATCATTTTCATCATCAGAATCATTGTCGGAGTTGAAGACCCCTTATATACAGAATGATATCAGGGTAGATATGAGATATTTGAACGACAATCAATGGGTACTTAATTTCACTCACATTCCAATGATGTGCATCGCCTCAATTTATGAAGTTTTGGATGATTATTGCGCATTGGTGCTAAACTTCTCCTTCCATTTGTGTAGAAGGAACAAGTCGTGATTGATGGTCTGCGGGACATGGAGGTTGGGATGGAGCGAAAATATTCCAACATCCACCATTCCAAGAAATAAGTACCGTTCAGCGGGAGCTATTGAATATTCCCTAAACGAACGGATCAAGAAAAACCCCATTACCTTACCTGGAACAACTGGGGCGCCTTCTTACGGCATTAAGGAAAGTGTTACATCATTTGAGGCATCAAATCAGACCGCAGCTCGCTACACGACTAAGTTCCATTTCATTCCATTGAACCGAAACCTTAAGTTGTCTGAAAATTTGAGATGCTAGTACAGGACAGGGCGTAGCCTCTGAGTATATTTTCATGTATTTTCCCCATCATGTATCGCTTAGAAGGATTTAATTCGCTTTAACCCACATGGAAATCTTGGGGACCATCCGAGCGAATATAATAACAATGCATGCTTACCAGGGTGCAGGAATTTGCTCACACAACTCACTACATACCATGGATAATGACGGGGACTCACTCGATATTCTGCAACAAATACTTAAATTGAAGATATTGGATCCAGACACACAGGGATCCAGAGTATTAGGTTCTACTGGCGTTCCTTATGACCGTGCTACTGAAGTCATATCAAATGACAATTCAAATGGTAGAGAAAGGTTTGCAGCTGAAGAAACATGCAAGATGTTGGACAATAGGGATATTGAGGTCCAACAGGAGAAGCCAAAGAGAGGCAGGCCGAGAAAGCGAGTGAGACAGCATCGTCAGTATTTATGCTTGACCACAATTTAAATACAAATTTGATAAAAATTACCTGGTACAGGAAAACCTGCATTACCTACATTTCCAGCTGAAGCATCAGACGGGCAAATCCTGAATGCAAATAGACGACTCATCCGTGCCACAATCAGCCCAATCCCTGAGCTGTTGCGGCCAAACATCGATGAAATGGACCATCCTTCACTGGATATACTACCAGGACGCATGTTACAAGACCAGGATCAGCAGCCTTGGAATGCACCCAGGGATGTACAATCAGATGTGGCTGAGATAATACAGAAGATAATGACGTCTGGAATCCTGGATTGGAATCCAAAGGCATCATGTGCTGTGAATAATTTAGCAGATGATAGCTTGAATGCGAATCAAGATATCAGGGCACATTTGATGGACATCGACAATGGAGGGAATGCAAAACAGATGGATAATTCAATCAAAAAGAAGCAATGCCGGCCACGTGGACGACCAGCTAAGAAATCAACCACGCAGCGTGAGTTCTTGCATTTATCCTTGTCTTGTATTCACATGATCGTTGGCATAGGCAACAAATTGAAGAACATGGCTTCGAAGGATACAATATCATCACAGAGAGGAAATGATCAGTCCAGATATATCATCCGTGCGACCAGCAACCCAGTTCACGACAACCAGCAGGTAAATACAAATGTTCTATTGAATAGGGGCGACAATTAAAATGTTCCTCGGCAAGGCAATGATACTGTTGGACGACAATATCATGCAAGAAGGATTATTTCATGGAAATGATGATATTCTATGCATCGATGGAGACATAATTGAATGTCCATCCGCCAATATTGGACATCGGGGACTTCAACAAAAGCATATTTCTCGTCCCAGAGCAACTGGTCAGTGAGAATTTAAACCATTATTCAATGGAGATATCTTGAAGTTTAATATCAGCATCCAAAAGTCGGATGATTCATCGCCAATCATCGTGTGATAATGAATCAGGAAATATGGAGGGATATATGGAGGATGCAGTACAAAGTAAAAACATTTCTTGTTCTTCCACCTGGCGTCACATATATTTATCGTCTTCATTAGGTAGTGCAATGCTCTCTACAGGAAGAATAGAGGATGAAGATTACAGGCCGTCTCTACCACCAGCTATACTCCGATCACCTTCTGTTGAAGTTCCACAAGATGCGATACCTGACCTTACGGCCGAGGAAATTTCTTGTGAGTTCAGAATGATCTTGATACAATGGCAAACACTCAATATTCTCCATTTTAGCTTGTGCAATGGCCCAACCACTATTCTGGACATCAGTGTGGCACAACTGGAAAACACTTGCCTCGACCGAGTGGCTTGATGCAACAGTGGCAAACTTTTATTTGTCTCATGTCTGGTATGATAATCTGGGAACATCAAGCATGAGATACGTGGACCTATATACAGCTAGGGTCAACGAAATCACAACGGAAGAATTGGATCTCTTCAGAAGGAACTATTTTGTTCCTCCTCAGGGGGAATGTCCAATCGTCCCTGTTGGATTCATAGTCCATCATTCCGATCATTTCTTTGCTGTAATTTTCGACTATCAGCGATGCACAGCATATGTTCTTGGTCGCTATATTTCCGACTCTGCAATGGAAGTCGACGGGATTGGTCCATACAACTGGGAGGATTGGCAAGGACCGGAATATTGGAGAAGAATTGCATCCCTTCATGGCTGGAGGATAGGTGATGTCACTGAAATATCTGTGATACCCAGGGATTGGATGCAAAATGGACTGGATTGTGGTCCAATAGCTTGCTCCGTGCTAGAGCAATGTCTCGCATCAGGATTAGATGAAAGCGGAGGCTTGCCAACATTTGAAGTCCAATGTGGTCACAGGTTGAGAATTAACATGTTGCGTGTTATAGCAGGTCGTATCAAGCGCAGCTGCAGCGATTATCTCATGCTGCTAGACAGCCAACGACACAATTGGAGCGAGGATGAATTTCCAGACGAGGATACCATCAATGACATTCAGAATGGACTTCACCAGACTGAATGTCTCAAGCTCCTCCGTACCTTGACTGTCGTCAGTGCCACCTGTTCAATATGTCAGCGTTGTGGTCGATCACAGGATGGTAGACGCCCCTCAGTTGGTGCTGAGGATCAAGAGGAGACAATGCTCAATGGGGAGGATGTAGAAGCTGAATTGAGCGACAATGATGATTCCCTTGGGATAAACCTATCGCAGGACAGAAAGAAAAATCTTGCAAAGCTATTAAAAGACCACAAACAGCTGAATGGATCAAGGAACCGCAATAACATTGTCCCTCGCGCCATTGGAACTCACCTGGAACTGGAGATAGAAATTCCACATCATTTGAATAATACAGATGACATGCAGCGCTCTGTGTCTGCATCTGCACCTCGCAGGAAAGTGAAAAACTGGCATCTTGGAAGCAACAAACGATTTCCACGTCCTATTGCACCACTCCCTCTGGTTGCATATTCAGGTAGAATGTGGCTTCATCATGATCACACATTCGACGATTATGAGGATGGACCTACGATAGAGATGTTGAAAGCACAGAGGGACATAAATCTGACAACAAAATTCCAGGCTGGGGCAATCCAGCTCTCGTCTGCTTGGGTCGATTGGGTCGATCATGGATATCGCATCACGCCTAGCTCATTTCATATATTCTATCAATGCGACCCCATAGCCACCATGGACCACATCATGCCTATCGGAACAACAAACTCCTATGACGCTTCAAATCAAATTCCAGATCGAGTGACAGGTGCATACAGCCTTGCACGAATCGGATCATCTCAAGACGCACAGCACACGCATGTGACAGATGTGGAAATCCTCTCTGCTTCCGAATTAATAGAATCTGCACAGTATGATCCCCCCCTTCACGAGGAATGTAGGTTCGGACATAATTCATTTGTTCGTGGCCATACCAGCCATAGATATGGTGATGGACCTCCAATATATGTCGACCTTGAACGAGATGCAATAAAGTTTTCAGAGGATGAGATAGAGACCTCGCTGGACATTGACAGTATCATTTGGACGACAAAGGTGTTCCGATGCAGAGGATCTGTGGGGATTTATGTCACTCCTCCATTTCAAACCAAGCCTGGTATTTTCAAGCACAACCATGCATACATCGACATCACAATTCCGCAGTCTGAGGAAGATGCTAATACTCCTGGTGGGCGAACGGAATGGCTATCAAAAAGATTTCCCATGTCTGCGATCCCTCACATCTGCATTGGGCGCATATCCTCTGCGTCCTCAACGCTCAATCTTTATATTGCCTTCCCAAGGATGATACACCAACACCCAGTGAACGGTCGTAGAATCACATTGATGCCAAAGGAGGTCTTGGATATCTTTTGGGATCGAGTGCTGCTGCCGTCTATAGGGGACTCCACCGATGTCAGCTGGGCGCCTTACCTTAAGCACACTTTGGAAGAGGCGAGATACAAGGCAAGAGGTAAAGATGGACGCAAAGGTGGATGGGGACCTCCAAAGACGATACCACTCTCCGATGACGACTTTAGAGACGTGCAGGACCGTATGGAAGCTCGCATACAAGATGGAGAGGGCGAGCTCAGCATGTATGGGTCATCATTCTTTATTCTAGAGGGAAAGGGAATCAAGCTTCTCACAAAGGATGGACAAAGGGGGCGTTTCGCAGGACCAGAAGAGGCTCTGCTTCACAACCTTCCTGATCTTAACTGGGAATATATGATGAACAGGAAACATGGAGAGTTGCTGGTAGACATCGGCATCTCATTTACACCCCACTCCCCAGAGGTTCCAGTCGTCGGTTTATGGAGATTAGATGCATTAGAGGCATCATTTGGCGCAGGTGGCTACAAGCGTGGCGAGATGCATCACCACAACATGCTCTCCAGATAT